ATATTTATCGTATATCTAATAACTTAATTGCGTTGCTATCAAGACGTTTTGCTAGCAACGCAAATTTCAATAGATCGTTGCGGTGAAAATTTTAGAGCACCTAATTTTTAAACTTGGTACTTAATTAGCACCTAAAAAGCCCCTTATTTGGACTTTTTCTGAAAGCAATTTTGATTCTATTTTGATTTTCAGGAAATCTGAATTTTGCATCTGCTATGTTCTGAATAACGACTTTATTTTTATTAGGGGCGCCTTGTTACTGCGTATACTTGCAGCACCTAATTAGCACCTAATTCCTTGCTATTAATATTTATCGTATATTTAATAGGTTCATTGCGTTGGTAGCGAGACGTTTTGCTAGCAACGCAAATTTCAATCGTTCGTTGCGGTGAAAATTTTAGAGCACCTAATTTTTAAACTTGGCACCTAATTAGCACCTAAAAAGCCCCTAATTTGGGATTTTTCCAAATGCAAATTCCCGACTTTGCGTTGCTAGCGATACACAACTTTCATGGACGTTATTAGTATAATCACTGAATTCATGACCAAAATTATTTACGTGCACCAATAAACGTTTCTTTCTTTAAAATATTTTTTTATTGAATGCCGTGTCTGTGCATTCCAAGATCTGTGATTTTTACTTATATTCGTAAGTTGTTCGCCATATTTTGGCGTTAGTATTATTTTACGAAATATTGTAGAGGCGGGGTGCGGCAAAGAGGGAACGAATGCCCAAGGTTATTTGGTCAGGGAAACACCTTAAGAATAATATATGTATTACCTATCTATTTAATAAATTATAATGGTAAAACGTTATTTCTACTATAATTATTGCGATAGATTGTCTAAAATAGAATATGTAACTGAGACCGATTGGGATAATTCCGCACAAACACTAATATTCATTACTATGTCTACTTGACGACCTCGAAGATTTTGTTCAATACGTCCGCCTCGTACCTCTATGCACTTGCGCCATCGGATTATATTATAAAGTTTAAACGCACGCGTTGCAGAACAGACATTTCAAACTTTATTTTTGCAAAGGCTGCGACTATTCGCATACGCATTTTCGCCTCGGTATCGTATGTTTTTTTTTGGAATACGGACTGACAGCTTAGTCCTACCACAGAGATAAAAGTCAAAAGGTGTGAGAACAGGTGATCGCGCCGGCCAGTTGACCGGTCTACCACGGCCAATCTATCTTTCACCGAATTTTCCTAGTAATTCCTTAAATTATAATATTAAAAAATTGGACGATACTTTTGCGATCACTCAAAGTGCGTGTACATTTTGGGGATTTTCCTATAAGTCCTACGATGACGAGCGGGTAACGGTTTTGAGTTTGAGGAGCGCGCGAAACACCGCCTATTTTATAGTAATTTTATTTTGTTTATTACATTCTTTTACTATGGATCAATTTAAAAATAATTTCTGTTATATATTCTTCATCGAAGAAAGTTTCACGTGAAAAATGCATAATACATTTCACCTACAAATAGTTGCAAGTTTGAAATTAATAACGACATTTTATGTTTGAAACAAAGTTTTTAAATATTTTTACCAAATATCTAATTAGCAATAACGTGGTTTATAACATAAGTATTCAATAACAATGTGTATTGACGGTGTAAGAAAATTCACTAAGGTTACCAGCGGGTATTAAAACCCGTCGGGCAATAAGGCCTAAGTGACAAAAAACGTACGAAATACGGTAATTGGCGATCAAGGTTACACTCACACAAGCTCAGAGCGTATACAAGTCGCTGCGAAGTGGCGGACGAACGCCTGCACTTCTCCCCCCGCCAGTGTCGTCGAAATAATTCAGCGGCGCGGTCACACGGCACGAATTATAAAAATTGGCTCCAGTAAAATGTAAGTTATTTTGAAAATATCATATTGATAGAATCAGGCGTTACTTTGCGGAAATCCCCAACAACAAAAACAACGCCAATATTATATTTACAAACCTGTATTGACTGTCCGTTTATTAATTAATGTATGCTTGTCCCTAGGTTACCGTATTAAAGGACTTGTAGTTGTAAATTTTTTATTATTTTTTTGTAACCACGTGGTTGGCGGATATTAATGCCTATAAAATTTTACTATAGGCCTTATTATACTCCTATTTCTTTTAAACTGCTATATAAGTAGGAGCGTGTTTTTAAAATGTTTGTTGGTGGGTAGTATGTACGTAGTTATACATTTTCAATTTATTTATCATTGTTTTCAGTGCTTACGGTCACGATGCCTCCCAAATGGGCACTGTGGTCAGAAGACGATCTGATCGCAGCTGTTAGAGCAGTACAAAGAGGAACAGTCTGGCAGTTTAAAGAAAAGTTTGGGACGTAAACCTATATTAAATGATGAAGAGGAAGCTCAATTTGAGCAAAGGATAATCCGGTATTCTGAAATGGGCTTGCCTATGATACCAAGAATATTGCGTAAATTGGTGTATAAATATTGTGAGCAAAATAATATCAAACACAATTTTAATGATGAGAGCAAACGGTCAGGCAAAGACTGGTTCAAAGCGTTCATGAAAAGACACCATGAAATATCCCTAAGAAAAGCGCAATTCATGAACCCAGCTAGAGCCCAAAAGCTAAATAAATTTAGTGTTGATGACCATTTTAAAAAACTGAGAGATATCTACGATAAATTTAACTTATATGATCATCTCGAGAAAATTTATAATATGGATGAAAAAGGATGCCGTCTCAATATCCATCACCAGAAAAGTGTTTTGGCCAAAAAAGGGGCTAAAAGGGTTCATTTGCAGTCTTCTGAACATGCTGAAAGCATTACTATCGCAGGATGTGTTAATGCTCTTGGCACAGCCATACCACCTATGGTCATATTTAAGGGAAAACGTTTGAAACCAGAATTGTACGATAATTTGCCACAAGGATCTTTAGTAGATAAATCAGCAAAGGGGTATATGACCAATGAACTTTTCAAAATATTTTTAAAACACTTGTATAGATACTGATACAAAAGCCAGGGACCATGCCTTTTGATATTTGACGGAGCAGCATGTCATTTAGATCTTTCCATAGTCGATATATCCGATTCACTTGGCATTCATTTGTACTGCCTACCTTCAAACACATCCCATGAATTACAGCCTCTCGACAAAGCCGTATATCGATCATTCGAGCACCACTGGGATGCTGAATTGTTATCATTTTTGGATCAAAACAGAGACAAAAAACTCACTAAAGCACGCTTTAATATCATTCTTTCAAGCGTTTGGTCTAAATGTATGTATCACGAGTGGCTTTAAAGCGACTGGCTTGTAACCCACAGGCCATACCAGAAACAGCTTTTACCCCTTCCATTTTAACGTAAACTCCTGCACCAGATGGTGCACAAGAAAACGCACCAGCTGTCGAACATCCTCATGCACAAGCTTCAGTGTCCGGAGATAGAACACCGTCTATTTTATCGGAAGCCTCAACGCCTGATCGTGATTAAGAAAATATACCACCTGTTAAGACCCGATAAATTATTTTCTTGACAACGTACAACATATGTTTGTGTTGTACAAGTTCGAAGCAACAGCGCTAGATGGCGTATTACGATTTCTGTATCGCGATATAATAGTTCACCTGTTTTACATGTAGTGTTGAATGAATTAAAATGGTTGTTACCTATTCTCACCACTGAGTATTGTGTTTTATTTTTGGGGCATTGTACATTGGTCCTTCGACTGCCGGATTAAGGTTAAAGTGGGGTTGACCTGTACGAAGTCCATCACGGCGCCGAACGGGCAGCGTATCGCTGTCAATGGTGCTTTAGCTGGCCGCAACGGGTACCGGCGCAGGAGCTACAGCGGGGGGAGCAGCCCCTGCGACGTCAACCGAAGCAAGTGGGAGGAAGCCCTCTTGTGCGACATCAACCAGAGGCAGAGCGGCCTGCCTACTGAGGGGAGGAGGTCTCCTGTGGCACCCACCGGATCGCGGCAGGCGCAGAGGGGGAGGAGCACCGCCGGTGTACACCCATGTGTCGTGTGAGTTGTGTGAAGATTAAACCGTGAGTACTATTTTGAACCTTATTATCAAGAAGCTCTAGACTTGTACAGTTTCAAAGGTAGTGCATGTGAAGTGAGTAAAAATTAGAAGTGTTTAGGACTTAGAATATTTTCAACAAAAGTGTACCTACGGGGAATCCACGCCGGTTTTAAGAGCAAATTTTATAAGTTAAAAAGACTTAGAATAATTTCGTGTAATGTTGGACTTGTAAAATTTTCGATGTCAATTTATCACTTAGAATAATTTCGTGTAATGTTGGACTTGTAAAATTTTCGATGTCAATTTATCACTTAGAATAATTTCGTGTAATGTTGGACTTGTAAAATTTTCGATGTCAATTTATCACTTAGAATAATTTCGTGTAATGTTGGACTTGTAAAATTTTCGATGTCAATTTATCACTTAGAATAATTTCGTGTAATGTTGGACTTGTAAAATTTTCGATGTCAATTTATCACTTAGAATAATTTCGTGTAATGTTGGACTTGTAAAATTTTCGATGTCAATTTATCACTTAGAATAATTTCGTGTAATGTTGGACTTGTAAAATTTTCGATGTCAATTTATCACTTAGAATAATTTCGTGTAATGTTGGACTTGTAAAATTTTCGATGTCAATTTATCACTTAGAATAATTTCGTGTAATGTTGGACTTGTAAAATTTTCGATGTCAATTTATCACTTAGAATAATTTCGTGTAATGTTGGACTTGTAAAATTTTCGATGTCAAATTAACACTCAGAATAATCTCGTGTATGTCGTCTTGGACTTGTAAAAATCTTTGTCGTTAACAATCAACTTAGAAAAATTTGCGTATCGTCGGACTTTGTAAAATTTTTTGTCATTTATCTACAGGGACTTGTATTTAATGTTAAGTGAGCGTGTGTATTGAGATATTTCCTCAGTTTGTTTTTTTGGATATTGCTATTGTTTTTTTTTAATTTATAACTATAAAATTTACGAAACATGGCTGACAATTATGTAAAGGTTCAAGAGGATATTGCATCAAAAATTAAAAAATCTCAAATAAATTTCAAAAAATCCCCTAAAGAAAGAATAACAAAATCGTATATTGAAACGCGTTTAGAATCTTTAGAAAGCAATTGGACTGTGTTTTCGCAAAATCATCGTAAAATTGTATATGAACTTAGGAAAGAGGACTTGGAAAAATCTATTTACCATACAGGGGATATTTATGATCAAACTGAGGAACTTTATTTCGAATATAAGACATTACTAAAGGAAACATTGTTAAGGTATAGTGCTGATAATATTGTAGAACCTGTTAATATAGCTAGCGAAAAACCTTCAGTTAGCTTGCCGAAAATTACATTGCCCAAATTTTCCGGGAGGTACACCGAGTGGGTGAGCTTCCGTGATTTATTCACTTCCTTAGTACACAAGAACCCTGGTATCGATGATGTCCAAAAACTTCATTATCTAAAAAGTAGTGTAACAGGTGAAGCAGAACAATTGTTGCGACATATCCCAATAACGTCGGATAATTATCAAGTCTGCTGGGAACAATTAGAAAGTCGCTACAACAATAAGAGATTTTTGGCTAATAATATTTTGAAGAGGTTAACTAGCCAAAGGGCTTTAGTATCAGAGTCCGCGGGTGCCATTAAACAGTTATTAGATACCACGAAGGAATGCTTACATGCACTAGAAAATATTGGCGTTAAAACTAGTGACTGGGACATAATTATAATTTTTCTCATTACTCAAAAATTGGATCCCGAATCCCGCAAGCAGTGGGAACAAAGGGTTTCCGATTCTGTTCAGGATTTGCCTAGTCTTAATCAATTTGAGGAGTTTTTGCAAAGTAGATTCCGGTCTTTGGAGTTTTTGGATACCAGGGTTCAAAGGGTCGAAAAGGCGAACTGTACTCATGTTGCCACTACTTTAGTAGCTTGTGCTTTCTGTACTTTAAATCATAAGTTGTTTAATTGTAAAAAATTCTCTAAAGAAAGTGTCGATGCGCGTCGTGAGTTCGTTCAAACTCATCGTTTATGTTTTAATTGCTTCGGTTCAGATCATTCTGTATATCAGTGTACAGCGTCAACTAGGTGTCGACTCTGTAGAAAAAAAACACCACAGTCTACTACATCCCAAAAATCCAAAATCAGCTAGCGATCCTAAGAGTGTCACGGCTGATGAGTCTGTGAAGGAGGCTGAAAGAGTTACGCCAAATTTACCACTAACCAGTGGTGAGCAATCAATTCCACAAGTAGTCACTTGTGTTTCAAACATGCTCGGGCAAGTCTTATTGGCTACCGCCCTAGTAAAGGTAGAGTGTCCTAAAACGAAATCTACCTTTGTCCTGAGATCTCTTCTAGATCAGGGGTCTCAGGCATCGTTTATAACAGAGTCTGCTGTACAAATGTTGGCACTCAAAAGGACTCCTGGGGCCAGTCTTGTATCAGGTCTTGGCAGTGACCAAGCGACCTTAGCTTCAAAGTCGTTTGTGTTTATAAAAATTCAGTCCCGTCTTGACCCAAGCTTTACAATTACTGTTAAAGCTCATGTACTCAGCAGACTCACAACCTTTCTACCAAGTAGTAAGGTCGTTGTTCAAGTGTTGCCCGCACTTCCGTCGAATATGTTGGCGGATCCTACATTTGATATGCCAAATAAAATCGACTTGCTCCTCGGGGCTGAGGTATATAGCCAGATTCTAATGGAAGGGATAATCAGGGGCCCGTCTAATTCAATAGTTGCTCAACGCACGAGATTGGGCTGGGTCCTATCTGGCAGAATACCCAGCCATAAGGGAGAAGTCACTGGTAGCGAAACGTGCATGAATGTAGTAAGTCTACACACCATGCAAACCAACGAGAACGAAATTCTCAAAAGATTTTGGGAATTGGAGTCCGAACCATCTCTTGGTATGTGCAACCGTTTGTCTCAAGAAGAGCAGAGATGCGAGGAATTCTTTACCAAATCAACAAGGCGTGATGAGACCGGTAGGTATGTCGTACGATTACCATTCAAAAGGGAACATCCACTATGTCTACGTGGTAATCTAAAGGATATAGCGAACAAACGTTTTCTGTTTTTGGAAAAGCGTTTATTGAAGGACCCAGAACTTAAAGTCGCATACTCAAAGGTTATAAATGAGTATATAAGTTCTGGCCATATGGAAGCAGTGAGTTCTAACGAACTTGCGAAGAAATCAGTATATCTCCCACATCACGCCGTAGTACGTCATGACAAGACCACAACAAAGGTGCGTATGGTTGTGGACGCATCTTGTACGGATTCAAATGGGGTATCCCTTAATAATGAGTTGATGGTAGGCCCCACACTTCAACCGGAACTTCGTCATATTGTAATGCGATGGCGATGTTACCCTATCGCTCTAGTAGCTGACATCGTCAAGATGTACAGACAAATAAGAGTAGCTGATGAGGACTTAGATTTTCAGCGCATATTTTGGCGCGAAAGTCCAGATGCTGAACTTCAGCATCTTCGCTTTTTGCGAGTTACCTTTGGCACCTCATCAGCACCTTATTTGGCTGTTCGATGTCTTCAACAACTAGCCCATGACGAAGGTTCCAAATTTCCATTAGCAGTGCCGAAAGTGCTGTACGAATTTTATATGGACGACCTGATGTCCGGTTGCTATACAGTAGCCGAAGGCGTTCAGATCTATGATCAGATGACTGCTTTATTGAAACGTGGGGGATTTCCACTTCAGAAGTGGTCTAGTAATAGCGTCGATTTATTGAATAAAATACAGACTGACACCAAGGAGTCCAATAATTCTCTGGTGTTGAAAACAGACGAAGTGATCAAAATTCTCGGCCTGAAATGGAACAGGGACACCGACGAATTCCAGTGTACCGTCGACCTCCCACCGCTCCAAGCTCTCGTTACGAAGCGTATAATGATCTCCGACATTGCTCGGCTCTTTGATCCATTGGGTTGGTTGGCGCCAACTGTCATCACAGCGAAGATCTTTATACAGAGGATATGGCTAACTGGAATCAACTGGGATCAAGAACTACCGTCATCCCTACTTAAGGAATGGGTAGAATTCCGCAACGATTTGCCCAATTTAGCTAAGATGCGATTTCCTCGATGGATTCACTCGCATCCAAACGATCAGGTCTGTGAGTTACATGGATTCTCAGACGCATCAAATGCGGCATATGCAGCAGTAGTATATGCGCGCATCGTGGATGCTCAGGGAAAAGTTCACGTAAATCTGATCACTTCTAAAACGAGAGTAGCTCCGATAAAACAAATCTCAATCCCTCGCCTAGAACTCTGCGGTGCGGTTTTGCTGGCGAAACTACTGAATGAAGTATCGGAGGTACTGAAAATACCTAAAGAACATATACACGCTTGGTCCGATTCTTCAATAGTTCTAGCTTGGCTCAGTAGCCATCCCAGTCGATGGAAAACATTCATCGCAAACAGGGTTTCTGAGATACTTTCAGTTATGGATGCAGACCAATGGTCGCATGTGGCCTCAAAGGAGAACCCAGCAGACCCTGCATCGCGAGGCTTAATGCCATCTGAATGTGTGACAAACCAGCTTTGGCATCAAGGCCCTGATTGGTTATGGTTTGACGTAATAAATTACGAAAGGAATATAACGGACACAACCCTAGAAGAGAGGAAACCAAAAATTAAGACCTACATGACGGCAGCAAATAATGAAGAAGATAATCTACTATCGAAATATTCATCCCTGAAAAAACTTACCCGAGTTGTGTCGTTCTGCCGTAGAGTCCTACACTGGAAGGAACCTAAAGAAAAAAGGAAAAAGATTAGTACACAATTAACAGCAAGGGAAATCAATGAATCGTTACTTTCCTGTATCAAGATGTGTCAGCGACGAAGTTTTAGTGAAGACATCGGAGACCTAGAAAGGAAAAGAAAGTTAAAAAAAACTAGTAAACTTACCTCGTTGAATCCCTTTTTGGACACTTACCAAATTCTTAGAGTTGGTGGAAGACTACAGAGGGCGAACGTCGATAAAGATACGAGACACCCCATCATTCTTCCCCACAAGTCAGCTTTCACAAATTTGATAATCGACGAGGCTCATTCTAAAACGATGCACGGAGGGCCTCAAATCATGCTCAATTATCTTAGAAGTAGATATTGGATAATTGGCGCTAAAAGTCTCGTTCGTCAGTTTGTCCGCAGGTGTGTGACTTGCATCCGCTACTCGGCACAAACAAGCCAGCAGATGATGGGTCAGCTACCATCATCACGAGTTACCCCACACAGACCTTTCCACAAGAGTGGAGTTGATTACGCGGGTCCAATTCAAGTCAGACCTACAAAGGGTCGCGGTTATCGCTCCACAAAGGGCTACATATGCTTATTTGTGTGCATGGCAACGAAAGCCCTACACCTTGAGGTGGTCAGCGACATGACTGCGCAAAGCTTCTTGGCTGCATTCAAAAGATTTGTCGCACGAAGAGGCCATGTCTCTGACTTGTGGAGCGATAACGGCACTAACTTTGTAGGAAGTGCTAAAGAGCTTACAAAATTGTTTTCCGCAGAAAGGTCTGTCGTAGTGGCGGAAATACAGGACTGGATGTCCTCAAATGGTACTAACTGGCACTTTATTCCTCCCCACTCTCCAAACTTTGGAGGGTTGTGGGAGGCAGGTATTAAATCTGCCAAGTATCATCTAAAACGTGTAATTGGAGATAGCACCCTTACTTTTGAAGAGTTGACTACCACGTTGTCTCAGATTGAGGCGTGCCTCAACTCGAGACCCATTTGTCAGATATCGAACAACCCTGATGACCCAAATCCACTTACTCCGGGTCACTTTTTAGTAGGCGAACCTCTTGTTCTCGTACCAGACATGAATTACGAAACCTCTAATATTAGTGCCCTGAGTAGGTGGAATTTAACCCAACGCATGGTCCAGGACTTCTGGCGTAGATGGTCCCAAGAGTATCTGACTCAGCTCCATCATCGTTATAAATGGTCGGACCAAGTTCCTGAACCAGACGTGGGAAGTGTAGTATTGGTCAAAGAAGACGATCTCCCACCAGCGAGGTGGTTACTAGGTATCATCACCGATAAGCACCCAGGTTTGGACGGTCTCACGCGCGTGGTAACCTTAAAATATAAGGGCAATATCATAAAACGACCAGTATCTAAATTAGTATTATTACCCAAAGATTGTGTTTAAATTTAAGATTTAATTGTCATAAAATAATAACCATTGTCAAGTTTCTTCCTTTGTTTACATTTTTTTTTTATAAGAAAGTCTACATGTTCAATCACTACATTTTTATGTAACCATTCATTCATAGACTCAAGTATGCCTTTATTTATTGTTATTTTCTGTATCATTTTTATTGAAAGTTAATTTGAAATAAGAGCCTAATTTTTGTTACCCTTTTCGTTTATAAGTTGCCTAAAATCTAAAAATTGTTAATTATGGACTTAGTCCATGGCGGGCGGAATGTTAAGACCCGATAAATTATTTTCTTGACAACGTACAACATATGTTTGTGTTGTACAAGTTCGAAGCAACAGCGCTAGATGGCGTATTACGATTTCTGTATCGCGATATAATAGTTCACCTGTTTTACATGTAGTGTTGAATGAATTAAAATGGTTGTTACCTATTCTCACCACTGAGTATTGTGTTTTATTTTTGGGGCATTGTACACCACCTATTAATAGTGATCAACAGAAGAGTTCAAAATTTGCTACTAGTTCACCATCAATTTTGACACCGATTCCAATACCCGATGTCTCGCTTGGAAATATTTCACCTGTTGATTGTCTTCGACCAGCGACCCCAGAACAAACTAAGCAATCACTAGCTATAGCATCAACTTATCGCACAGTTTATGGAACAAGCTCTGGTTCAGATGAATCTGACGATTTACCAATCAGTCGGTTGAAAAGAAATTATTTTTATGATCTTCTGCCTACGCCTGTTGAAGTTCAAACATGCACACCGACTGTTAGACGAAAAGTCACAAAAGATCTGTTTGATAAATATAATCAAGAGAAAACAAATAGTAAAGAAGTGAAAGGTAACAAAAGAAAGAAAAATAAACAAGACGAAAACTTTACTGCTGTTGAAACATGTAGAAAAGAAAAAACGAAGTAAGAAAAAACAAAATACTTTAAATCTTAAGAAAGCTAAAATCGTATCTGCAAAAAAGTCTACTACCGTCAAAGGTAAATCACAAAAACAAGTGAGTTGGTACTGTCATGCCTGCAAAGAAGATATAATGGACGATGCAATGAGACAATGCTCGCAATGCTCCAAGTGTTACCACGAAGAGTGTGTCGGTTTGACTGCAGAAGATACTGATGACTTTCAATGTCCTGATGGATGCGAATAAGGGCAATTTATTTAATTTTCTAAGACCACTATGCTTCCTATTGCTTTATGTTAATGTTATTATTGATCTCAAGAATACCAATTTACGTAGTATAAGTTGATTTTTGGATAGTTTAAAGTATAGGCCTTTTTACCCTACCCTCGTATAATAACGCCTACACACTGCGTTTAATAAAAGTTATATATTGTTTTGGTTTTGAGCAAGAGAAGCTATTTTTTGTTCAAACTCTGTAGTAATCTAAGTACATGACTGATTAATAATAAAACTTGTTGATTATGTTGGATATTTTTCATTTTATTACAAATTTCCCTTAGCTAGGCGTTAATACCCTCAGGTACTACTCCAAATCGTGGGTGTAGTAAAAGGCGGTAGATGGAAACCAGGAGATGGGCAACGGCATCTTCCTAACAACAACTAGATCCAAAGTAAAAAATTGCGGTTGCAAACCCGCCTGGCAAAAGTGGAACTATGAAAAATACGTCCTTATGAGGTTATCCGTTGGATAGGCTTATGTTCAGTAGTCGACTTTGATAGGTCGTAATGAATGAATGAACAATGTATATTTGATCTCAACATAATTTAAAAACTGTTAGAACTCGACAAAACAGTGTCATCTACGTAGCGGAACCAAGAAATTGTCTCATTAAGTGACATCGTAAAATAATTTTTGTAAGATAATTTATTGGTCCGAGAGCTCATGACGCATTTTGCATGAAGTGTTTGATGCATCATGAAACTTTGTTTAAAGGTATCAGTCGACTCAATAAGCAGGTATATGACTGTCTGCCTGGCCTACCTGGGTACACCTGGTACTGCGCATACAGTTAAGTCGAAAAAAAATTTGCCCAAAAAAAAGTGTTTGATTCAAATAATAATAATGACTATCCGTTAGCTAAGTTTATAAACAATTAAGAAAAAAAATGGCAGACACTTCTGAAGGGGTTTACATAGGGGCAGACGACCACAAAGTTGTATTTTCAAAAATTCCAAAAAAAGTGTTTGATTCAGTCTGCCATTTTTACAGCGTGTTTATTATGTATAATAAAATATTCTCACAAAAAGGCAGACAGTTTCTCCGGGGGTTACTAATTTAAAAATCTATACAAATAAATAATCACTTTTTAAATGGTCCATATTTCCTATCATAATAATTAATACATCTGTATCACATGATTTGATAAGTACATTGACAGCAGAATCCGATTCCAATTGACAAACATGAAAATAATTATACTTTTTTAAGATTATTTAAATAGCTGCTGATAAAATAAAAAGCTGTTCCCCGCGACTTCGCCCGCATGTAATTTAGGGTTTTATTTTTTTTGCGCGGTACCCTAATAATTTTTTTTAAATTTAAAAGCAGCCTAAAATACTCGTTATAACATCAATTATCTGCCAGTGAAAGTCCCGTCAAAATCGGTCCAGCCATTTCGGAGATTAGTCGGAACAAACAGACAGACAAAAATTTTAAAAATTGTGTTTTTGTTATAAATATCGTATATAATGTCTTATGCGTTTAGTAAAAAATTGTTATTTTGAAATTAAAAACAGACATTTAAATTTTATTTATTTGTATAGATTTTTAAATTAGTAACCCCCGGAGAAACTGTCTGCCTTTTTGTGAGAATATTTTATTATACATAATAAACACGCTGTAAAAATGGCAGACTGAATCAAACACTTTTTTTGGAATTTTTGAAAATACAACTTTGTGGTCGTCTGCCCCTATGTAAACCCCTTCAGAAGTGTCTGCCATTTTTTTTTCTTAATTGTTTATAAACTTAGCTAACGGATAGTCATTATTATTATTTGAATCAAACACTTTTTTTTGGGCAAATTTTTTTTCGACTTAACTGTATGCGCAGTACCAGGTGTACCCAGGTAGGCCAGGCAGACAGTCATATACCTGCTTATTGAGTCGACTGATACCTTTAAACAAAGTTTCATGATGCATCAAACACTTCATGAAAAATGCGTCATGAGCTCTCGGACCATATAATCTATACAAATAAAAAAACTTGAAGTGTTTGTTTGTAATGTCAAAATAACAGCTTTTTACTAATTGCATATGAAAGTATATACGGTACGGTAACAAAAACACAATTTTTAAAATTTTTGTCTGTCAGTCTGTTTGTTCCGGCTAATCTACGAAACGGCTGAATCGATTTTGACGAGATTTTCGATGGTAGATAGCTGATGTTATAAGGAGTAACTTAGGCTACTTATATTTTAGAAAAATAATTGAGGTTCCGCGCAACATAATTAAAACCCTAAATTACACGCGGGCGAAGTCGCGGGGAACAGCTATTATAAAATAAATATGAACTTTTGAATAAATATGGAATTTCGCCAACTGTCAGCATATTATCAAAAATATTTTCATTATTATTTCTATTATTTATAAATTTAAAGTTTCTGAGAATAACTGTATCTAGAGAAAAATATTGGAGATATCTATTATAATTTCGCTTTTAGTGCATGCTAACTTGCTCCGATGTTAAAAATCGATAGCAATAGGCTAATATAAATCTTCGTTTTTGAAGGCACATAATCTTGCTACATATAAGAAGAAATGAAATTGAAATGAACGTTAGCCGAAATCCAAAAATTTATTCATTGTACGTGGGCTGACAAGCCAAAATCAAATGAAATGAAATCAAATTAATCCCCAATGAGGCAGTTTATATTCGAGAACTATGTTTATTAGTTGAATTTTGATGAGCTGTCATGATGACGATAAATATGAACTTGGGTGCATGGAGAGACGCACACTGGGCAACGGTCAGCAGTACTGTTTAACGGTGAATTCTTTCACCACGATAATTTCATCTAACAGATGGCTGCTTACTAGATTAGTGTGTAGCGTTTGCTAATATTTGATGAAGATTAAATAATTAAGCCCTAGAAGTTTGAATTTTATACTTCAGAGAGACCGTAGACAGTAGGTTCATATTATTTTCAACTAATACTACATTAGCTACCAAAAAAGTATATTGAGTTATGAACGTTTTTTCGAGGTACTATAACAGAACGGAAGGCAACGCACCGGCAGCAGTGTAATTTAATTCAACCATTTCGAGTCACTTTCGGACCCCATAACTGAAGACCTAAATACTTGTAATTTTCAACCGACTTCAAAAAGAAGGAGGTTTTCAATTCGACTGTTCTTTTATTTGTGTTACCTCAGAAAATTTTCTAGGTGAACCGATTTGAATTATTCTTTTTTATTTTAAGGCTGGTGCTTCTCATGTCGTCCCATATAAATCTAATCAAGATCTAACCGTGGAAGTGTTTGAGTTATCCTTGATAATGCGTATTTAATTGACTTCGAATACATTGATGATATTCTTTATATTGAAGTCGGTTGTATAAAATATTTATTTTACCTGATAAGTGATAAGGTCTCCTTGAATAATTAGAATCTCATAAATCTGAGCTGATCTGGTCTGAAATGTGTCGTTTTATTATCACTGACTTACGCATAAAAAACCCGAGCCACTTCTAGGTTGCCGACAAAAGTTGCTTAAAGCAAAGGATCTGTAGGAATGTACTACGTTCTTGGAACTGCTATCAAGCTTGGCGCCTGTTTAGATCTTATCTCTTTTATCAGTGAAGCCGACAACCCCGAATGTCGATTGTAGTTGATTGAATTGGAGTTGAACTTGGCCCCATTTCAACATGTTTTTGAAGGGATTATTATTTACAAGTTATATGCATAGGAAATGATATATTTGTAAATAACTGTTTTTTAATAAAATGAACGAAACATTTTATACAGTCTTGAGAACGTAAAAAAAAGTCTATAAAAATATTGAGCTGTCTGTCTTTCCAAGATTAACACTTCTCTGCTGCTTTTTTACTGGAGTAGGTATGATCTCATAGCAATGTTATCAAAGTTTTTAGGTCATATATGAATATTGGGTATGAGTGTGTCATGAGTGTCAGTGACACAGTACGCTGCAATCGACACAATTGAATAAATGATTTTGTTCTCAATTAGCCACAACTAAAGTGCAACGTTCAATACGCATATTGGAATTAATGAGTAGTGAGATGCGTACTTGGCGTGTAGTAAGAACATCCACTACTCCATGTCGACCCGTGGATGTCATAAAAGGCAACAGAGTGAAACCAATCAGGAGATGGGCAGCAGCGTCTTTCTAATAACGACTAAAAATAAAAAGCTGCGGTTGCCAACTCGGTTGCCAAGCGTGGCAACTATGACAAATATCCCCTCTATGAGGCAATCCACGAGGGAGGCCTGTGATTAGCAGTACACTTTAATATGCTGTAACTGTAACGGAGATGCACATTATATTTGACTCGTCTTTTTATGGTTTACGTGGTGTTTACGTGGTAGAGCCATGCTGCAGCTATATTATGATTGTAGCATGAATGGGTCGGCTCGACTGGGGAAGGACCACGCTCTCACAGAATACCAGCGTAAAATATATAAAAATAGCAGCTTAATGCTGCTGTGTTTCGTATGGTAAGTGTAGAGAACCGGAAACCCTTTTTACTGGAAAGGAGGCATTCCATCTTATTCCTCACGGGTGACAATGTATATGCGTTTTGATTCTTTATTGAGGATAGATGTAGATGTTTATGGGTCGCAGCAACCACTTATTATATACAAACAGTGGTAGAGCCACGCGCAGCTTTCGCTGTCGCACGGATGGGCCGGCTCGATCCGGGGTGGTACCACGATCTCACAGAATACCAGCGTGAAGTAGAGGTTTACCTCTGCGTTTCGCTTGGTGAGTGCAGGTGGCCGGAGGCCCTTTTTACTGGAAATGAGGCATTCCATCTTAGTCCTCACGGGTGACAACGCATCTGCATTTTGATTCGCAAGCGAGGATAGATGTAGATGTCTATGGGCCGCAGCAACCACTTACCATCAGGTGGACTGTGTGCTCGTTTGTCACCCTTATCTTATAAAAAAAAAAAAAAAATCATCAGGTGGACTGAGTGCTCGTTTGTCACCCTTATTTTATAAAAAAAGGGTTCCGTACCCAAAGGGTAACCAATGGGACCCTATTACTAAGCCTTCGCTGTCCGTCCGTCCGTCCGTCGGTCTGTCATGTATTTCATGATCCGTAATAGGTAGGCAGTTGAAATATTCACAGAATGTGTATTTCTGTTGCCGCTACTCGTATAATAACAAATAATAAAAATTAAAATAAATTAGAAATTAAAAGGGGCTCCCCTACTAGAAACGTGTATTGCGATGGTACCAAACCTTTCATGCGCGAGTCCGACTCGCACTTGGCCGGTTTTTTATATATATAGAATAAGAATGACAAACAAGTACACAGTCCATCTGATGGTAAGTGGATGCTGTAGCACATATATAACTACATCTATCCTCGATTAAGAATCAAAATGCAGATGCGTTGCGACTCCTGAGGACTAAGATGTAAAGCCTCGTTTCTAATAAATAGGGTCTGCTACTCACCATACGAAAACTCATCAGCATTAAGTTGTTATTTTACATTGGTATTCTGTGAGAGCGTGGTCCTCCTCCGTCCTCGTCCTGCCCTATTGGAACGTTAAAAAGGCTGTCATTGTCATGTACGTAAATATTTTAAAATAATATTTTACCGTGCAGTGGTGGTGTAAGAATATCCACTGCCCCATATCATCCCGTGGGTGTAGTAAGTGGCGACAGAGGGAAACGTATCTGGAGATAGGCCATAGCGTCTTCATAATACAGCAAACATCCAACTTATAAGGCAATCAGTGGGGAGGCTTGTGCAAAGCAGTGGACTTTGACGGTCTGTAATGAATGGAATGGATAATGGAACGCTACCACCACTACTACGCTACTACCACGCGCCGAGTTTTAGGAACCTTCATGAAACGAGCTTACTCTTTCTAAAAGGCTGGCAACGCACCTGGTGATGAAATTGTCCATAGGCATGTGTTGACATTTACCATCAGGTGAGCCGTATGCTCGTCAGCCTCTTCTATAAAAAAAAATAAAACATTGACAGACGATGTGACTGTAATTACTCTTTTTACTCGTTAGCCTGTGGCCGTGGTAGTTCAGGGGCTTGGCGCTCGCTGATTTCACAGTACGCGAGCAACCCCGATTTGGTCCGCGCCATGAAATTGTTAATTGCAATTTACCACGTGCTCGGCGGTGAAGGAAAACATCTTGAGGAAGCCTGCATGTCTGAGAAATACGAAAAATATTTCGAAGACATGTGAAGTTCGCTAACACACATTGGTGCACCTCAACGGACATTAACCTTGCCCTAAAACCCTCTCAGAAATGAGAGGAGGCCTGTGGCCAGCAGTGGGACGTAGGTATGGTAAAGTTACACTTTTCTTTAGCCTGTAAAAGTCTACTGCTGTACATGGGTCTCTCCCTTTGCAGGGAGAATTTGTCTCAATCGTCACTTGACGAATTGACAGTTGCACCTTTTCTAATTGACGTATAATAAATCAATAATCAATCAATAATTTAAAATGCATCAACCATCTAGATGAAAGAATAAGTTCGCGTTTGTTTCAATGCTTCCGCGAAGCAACGCACTGCGCTTCGATAGCATTGTTTGTAGATTTCCGCGTGTAGTTTGTTTACTGGCGGGCGCGGAGCTGGCAGCTCGCCATCGGCCCGCGGTCACACACCAAAACATTCTGATTCTTGGGAAAAAATAACACAAACATTTGCAGTTTTCCGCTGCGACGCCTCTGTAGCGCTCGGCTCGTCAGCGGATTTATTTTCGCAATATTACTTTCAACTATTCATCGGTCTACCGAACGGGTTCAGTTCTGAACATATAACTAATATATGGTTCGATATTAAACACAATTGCGACGCCAGTGCCCGCTGGATTCATTGGCAAAATATTAATTGGGTCGGCGTATGCGCGGCGCGGATCCTCGGTATTGTACGCTCACACAGCTTTTTGTTCAGACGCGAGCATTAATATTATAGAGAGAAACAAGGGCATCACATTTGTTATCAGGTTGTCCGACGTAATACGATAATGAAAGAAAAAAGTGCACTGAAAATGTGAATCTGTTTGAACGGCTTCTCTACGCAATAAACGGACCGCAGCTGTGTGTAATGTAACACTTGACCGGGTTACAGGCGCCGTCGACCTCGTAAAATTGAATTAACGGAATCGAGGTGCCGTCCTCACGTTGACATCGCAAGAGATGATTTGAAGATCTATGCAATGTTAATTTGATTCTTTCCTGGCGATATTATTCATTGTCTGTAATAGATATCAGTGTCTGTAATAGAAAGAATAGTGCGCGTGTTTCAATCGGTGATTTGGTTGGTGTGGGTGGGTTGGTTGCTTGAAGCAGTGTTTGAGTGGTATGGAGACGGTGTACCCGGCTGCGGCGTCGGCGCTGGCGCGTGGACGGCGTCGGCGACAAGCAACGCCGCGCTCGCGACACCGCACCGCGCCCGTCACCTTCGCCGAGATAAAGGTACGCACGCACACACGAGAGAGAGAGAGAGAGAGAGAGAGAGAGAGAAAGAGAGAGAGAGAGAGAGACAGACAGATAAAGACACGGCCACACACACACACACACATAAAAGCGCGCGCTCGCGCACGCAAACCTAGCCTTTACCCCTTACCCTTTCCTTTGTGGTTCCCCTTTGGTTATGGTTACGATAAATAAACTATATTTTATATAAATGTCACCGCGATAATGTAACATATGTAAAATAACACGAATTTATAAATACAATGCCCATCAAAAAGTGTGTCCTGTCCAGCATCGTTACCCTACAAAACATCTTTGATCTTTATCTACTAAAGAAAAAAAAAAGACTTCGTCATCAAACTATCCAAAAATCTAGGTCTACATAGCAGTTACTTCATACACAAGTATGTTTACGATTTTCCTGAGATGTAGTATATAACAGCAGTTGCCGATTTGGTACACACTACTTTCTATCTAACTTTGGCTAACTTGACTCACAAAACTTTTTTTTTACTATCATATTAGTTTCACTAATCATAGGTCTTTGATATATGTCTTTTCCCGAAGTTACTATTTTACTATGTTGTGATTTGTGACACGTATATATAAATATGATAAATTGCGTGGAATTGAATAACCCTGATTTGGAATCGTCCCAGAGGATATCATTAGCAAATTTGATTTATTGTTTACGTAATTTACGTTATATCCGGATCGCTATCCACTGTTTATAATATTATAATGTATGCACATCATATAATATTATTGAGACATTCGTGCGTAATCCGCTAGCTGAAAAGTCATACATTTCGTGAAGCTGTCACTGTCACAGACAAATTAATTCGGCAGAAGTCGTTTAACGTTTTGGAATTTTTCCACGAAACATTATTTACCTACATTATGATTAATAAGGGTTTGATGCGAAGTAACTTTAATTGAAGTTTTAGCTTTTTATTAAATAGGCCCAAACCTAATCTCCATCTCGTTACACAAACAGAGATGAAAACGATTGTTTGATGATGTTTACTTTACCTTGGAAGCACAAATACTTCTAATAAACATTTACAGAAGCATTGAGATATAATGGTACGTAGTACATTATATCTCAATGTACAGAAGGCAATTAGTGAAGTTTCTGTTGGATGATTGAGTCAGATATCCCATTGGTCAGTCTCCCAGGTTGTAGAAAATGAGATTAACACAATGCTAAAGAGTATCATGCTATCGAATGTCGGAGGCTCGTCCGCCAAGCAGCACGGTACAACACGCGCAGGTAAAGTTGGCTGTGTTCCAAGGGCTTCTCGTGTATAAACACAGTTACAGATAGTTTTCACTTTCGTTTATATCGTATGTACGTCATTGCTATCAATGAAACTCAGCACCAGCACTGTATCGAGGTTGCGTAAAGTTTAAACGGTATTTAAAAATAGTGTACAGAGTTAAATTTAACGTTTCCAGGAGGTGGACGAAGAGCAAGACGTGGTTGAGGAGGCAGATATAAGCGTATTGAGCGAACGACGGCGGAAGCCAGACGAGCTATTTGAGCTGTCCCGAGAGTTCGCAGAGTTTCGTCGACGCAGAGCGCGACGCACCGCGTTGCGAGAGCCTGATGAGATTGTTGAAGGTCCCTCACCCAGCGATGGACCGTCTACTTCTAACGCTTCATCATTGTCTGAAACTCCCTCAGTAGACATAGTCGATATACCGCATGAAGTACCAGTAGTATCCAAGCCCCATGGGCAGCTTACCCGATCATCAAGTGAACCTACTTAAATGTAACGCCCATCATCTTAGTATAAAACTATTTTATGTTTAGTAATATTATGCAGTTTTGAATTGCTTGCTACGTCTGTCTGATCTCTCTTATTTTATTTTATGTATTCTTAAATCACACGCGAACATCAAAAAGCGTTGGATTTTTTTTCTGTATGCGACCAGCAGAAGAATCATGTATAATACGTTATTTGTTAGATGTTTTACTATTTTTTGAACGTTGTTCTTAAACATTATAGTAATAATACAAAAATAACGCTTGGAAAATTACTTAACAATTACTTGGTTAATAATTGATCACTGAAAACTGTCGAGCCTAGTGTTGATATTATTACGAGTACTATAAAACGGTACTATCCCGGTGATGAAGACGAATCAAATCGGTAGCCGAGAAGGGTAAAGTGTAATGGCTTAACTTAACGAAAGCCTGTTAACTTTTGCTCTTGCCTTGAAGACATCCACGTTAAATTCTGTAATATTATTCTTAACAAATATGCGAAAATATTTTAATTGCGAAAGTATATATATTATTTGCTATTTGAGAATATTTAAATTTTCAATGAAATACTGTTTCTTTCAATGAAAATGTTTTTCTTGTGATGCTATACACGATATATAAATTATATAATTGTTTATTTATTTTGATTTATTTATTTAAGCCCCAACAAGATTAGGGTGAAACAAATTATTGAAATAAAAACAATCTATGAACAACATATACGCAAATAAGCTTAATCGTATTTATAAGCGACCATGGCCAGGTGTACAACAAGAAGTAGACAACTAAACAAAAAACTTTAAAAAGAAAACTTGTGGATTGACGAAGGAAACAAAACTATACAGTCTGACTAGAGAGAACTGATCTTCGCAGTGAATAATTATGACTTAATTCAATTATGAATATTTCACCTTTTAGCTTTATGATAATATCTGTTTTGGGAGAACAGACAAGGTCAGATTTTTTATGCTTTAATTTTCGGCTACTAAGTGCTAAGTCGATATTCAATACCTTGTTATTAATGTTAAAAAAAAATCCATCCTACCCATACGTATTCGGAAACGTATGGGTAGGATGGAGATTCACTCGGCCACGTAGTTGAGGGCGGTCTGGTACATGGTTCACGGTTCACCAACTGTTACATTCACTTAGAATCCATCAATACGATCTACGAGTCTCCAATGAGACTAGCTTACATTTTAAACACCATAAATTATAGTGTTGAAGTCGATCATGTTAGGAGCGGAGTTCTTTAGCTTTATCAAAATGAAAAGCAATATGCCACAGAAAACGTTTTTGTATACATTTGATTATTTTTCTTAAATTTTTTATAGCGAGACCAAATGCTATTGCTACATTCTAAAGTCGACCTTAAGTAAGAATTTTGAAGTAGAAAGTTGTTTACACTTATAATATTAGCAAACAATTTTGTCAATGTTGAAGCTGACATTCAATTTAGTCTCAGACCAACACACTAAGAAGGACTCCGTCCTGCTGCGCTGCGTGCATTTCAACTAATTGTTCTTGTACTACTATTTATTCTGTGCTTATTGTAAGAACACGCACACACATATGCACCTTAAATCAATTTATTACTACCTTACACCTAATATCATGATATTGCAATCTATATCATGATATTAGGTGCATATGTGTGCGTTTAGCAGAAACACATTTACGGACTGAAAAAGAAGGAAAGAATAAAGATGTGTACGTGAGTGCGGGGCCAGAAGTTGATATTTCTTTGTTGGCCTAATTTTATAGTTAATGTAGATGCTAAGGTACGCTGATGGTGACCACCGTTGGGTTTTAGCTGATAGGAGTCCGGCATAAACTTTTTGTTGCCCTCGTAGCGGACGCTATCCATGAAGATTTAGGTGATGGTATAACGAGAATATGAGTCATAATCTCCCAAACTCTGCCTTACTGAGTTGGATCAGTTGTTTGAACTCTATTTTTCAACCGACTTCAAAAAGAAGGAGGTACTTAATTAGACTGTATGTTTTTTATGTGTGTTACCTCATAACTTTTTTCTCGGTGAACCCAATTCTATGATTATTTTTTATTCCAAAGCTGGTGCTTCTTTTGTGGTTATAATGCGTAGGGGTGTAAGGACAAACATTTTCTCCAAACGTCAACGTCATCTGCTCGTGATGTTCACTGCTGATTGACGGACGAGGTTCTGATAACGAAACTGACCCTCAAACTTGTGATGAGGAAGCAGCGTTTTATCACCGCGAAGGTCTCGGCTCCGTGCTCATGCATGGCTGATTACTTCATTCTTGAAAAGTGCAGGTATATTAAACTCAAAGTGAAATACATTTTTTTATAGAACAAGGATGACAAAAGAGCACACAGTCCTCACAGTGGCCCATACACATCTACATCTATCCTCGATTAAAAATTAAAATGCAGATGCGTTGTCACCCGTGAGGACTAAGATGGAATGCCTCATTTCCAGTAAAAAGTGTCTCCGGATTTCTACACTCACTATACGAAACGCAGCAGCATTGAACTGCTATTTATACTAACATTGGTCAAAACTAGACTTATAAACCAAACAAAAATCATCGACGTAGGAAGATGACGAATAAAACACAGTTTCATATTATGAATGTCATCTATTGTCGAAATAAATAAATAGTTTCCAGTGTCAGTCACTCTCGCAGACTCGCAAAATAAATAGACGTTGCTATGTACAATGGTCGCTTATAAACATCTTAACAAACAACATACGTAATTACGTAATAAATATCAACCTTATATCTAGTTCAATTACTTATATCCAAACGATCTGATTGAGACGGGTCGAGACCTGAAAACTTAGACCATTTGAACACGTCTAAAGACCGAAAAATCCAAATGCGATTTATGTCTTAATTGTCTTAATTGGTTCTGTACTGTGTTTAACATTTTTAAGAATTATATGAGATACTAGTTAATGAAAGGTGAAATAAAAAGATGCGTTTGTAAGTGACCCAAAAGGTCTTGCAGTGATGGTTTTTAGTTTCGTGAAATATCAGTAAAATTTAACATTTTATGTAAGTGTAACTCATAACGGATTGTGATGGCAGATTAGTTTAGGAAAATGACTAAATATTTCAATTATAAATTATGACAAACATTTTAAAAATTAATCAGGCGGTAGCATATATCTTATGTCATTTCACTACGGTAAAGCGTTTCACACATATATTTATTTCAGTTCTATTTTTATACTACACATATAAAATCTAATTATTAATTAAAAAGTTAATACTTTGCACACTAATGAGCATTTACTGGTGAACGAATACTGTTCTCAGCGCCTCTCAACCAACAAGTTTAATATTTTTTCTAAAATTTACATTAATATCACCTAGCGAATGTACATTATATACGGTAACAACGATCGGTATACTTTTTCTCTTGTGTAAATAAAATTATAATTAATTTTCACCTCTTAATATTAAATTGTTCTAAATAAATAATATTACTTTCGTAATAATACACACTTATAAAAACGACAAGTTGTCACGGTTGTAATACTGTACAAAATATAAATCATCTGTCAGCTCGCGGAGCGAAATTGTGTTACGACACGTTGGGTTCGCGTGACGGTCGCAACGCGGCGTTGCTAATGGACGGTTCGTTAAGACAGGGGCGGGCGGTGCGGCTACACGGCGGCGGCACGCGCGTCCGCCTCCTCCTGCGCGGTGTCCGGCTCCGCGGCCGACGGGATCGTGTGCAGCAGCCGCGGCGCCGGCAGCGCGGGTAGCGCCACCGGCGAGCTCGGCGGCTCGTCCGCCGACACGGCCGGCTGCCGCGTGAGCCGCGGCCGCGCGCCCGCCCCCGCCCCTACGCCCGCCGCCGCCCCGCTGCCGCCCGAGCGCGTCGTGCGCCACGTGCCCGTGGACGCCGTCGCGTTCGAGCCGGACGAGTCGTTGCGCGACGACGACAGGTTGGAGTCCTGCGAGGTCTTGCGCGCCACCAGCCAGCTGGCGGCGCGGCGCGGCGGCGGCGGCGCGCGCCCGTACGTGCGCCACGAGTCCGAGCGCGACGACGAGAACTCCACCGACGACGACACCGAGCCGGCGCGCGCGGGCGCCGCGGCGGCGGGGCGCGGCGCGGGCGGGGCGGGGGGCGCGCGCCGCCCGAGTGTTCGCAGCCAGCGCAGCAGCCGCTCGCCGCCCGCCACCCGTTCTCGCTTGCGCTCCCGCTTCTGCTCCTTCTGCCTCTCCCTCTCCCGCTGGCCCGTCTCGGGCACAGTGACCGGCGCCACGACCGGCAGCAGACGACGGCACGCGCACTGAGCGCCGTGCTGCCCGCGCGACGATCGCTCCGCCAAACTGTTCGTGTTGGCCGGCGTCTGCCTGTTGCTGAAGTTGGACGAGTGCCGGCATCGGCCTATCCCCCGCGTCACACGCGACTCCTCGATAGCCTTACACACTAGCGCGCAGTCTTTCTTGAACTGCTTTGTGAGTATCGCGTAGAGGAACGGGTTGCAGCACGAGTTCAGCGGTAACACAAACACGGTGAACACTTTCGCCTCTTCGAGCGACACGAGTTGCGCACCGAAGGCGGCGGTGAGCGCGAAGAAAGCGATGGGCGACCAGCACAGGAAGTCCGTGAACACCAGTAGCGCCATGCGCTTCGCTATTCTTGAATCGTTCGAGTTCCAGGCCTGGGAGCCACGGATGGCGCAATACATCTTGAGATAGCATCCGAGCAGCACTAGAAACGCGACACCGTTGATTGCGAGCAGAGACACCACGTACCCGAGCGACACCGGGGTGCTAGTTTCGAACGGCAAGCAAATGGCGAATTTTCGGTAGTCACTGATGCCGAACAGTGGTAACGCGGCCGCCGTAAGTGAAAAGGCCCAGCCGGCTGCCATAACTATAGCCGCGTGCCGCAAGGACAGCCGCTTGTTGAGATGCATGGCGTGTGTGATGGCGTAATTCCGCTCTAACGTTATGACAGCCAGCGTGTACACGGACAGTTCGGACGACAGCACGCCGAGGAAGCCAGCAAGGCGGCAGCCTCCTGACATCTGCCAAGAGATGGCGTGCGCGCGAAATTCTCCCAGAGTGCCAGCATCCACTACCGCCAAGAATCCTATTTAAAACAATATAAAAATTTTAGATTAGTACAGTCAAAAACTTATTAACAATTGAAATTTAATTAATTTTTTTTTCATCAGCAGTCCACTACTTATTTAGGCTACTTTTCAGATCGACACTAGCTCGATCTTCAACTTCACGTGTTTGTAGTAAGCCGGCACAAGTCGTCATCCTAAGGATATCTAGATGGGAACTCTTCGTTCATTTTTATTGCAGAGGGGTGACTACTCGTATTTGCAATTTGACACCTCTACGACGGATTCAATCAAATACCTTTTTACTTTAGACATAAAAAACTTTATTGTTCATTTCGATTTTTTGGCATATATCTTTATTACGAATCTATATCACAGAATTACTCTGAAAATATAGTCTATGTTTTCGGTTAAGAATTTCATCAGTAGGTAGCGAAAAAGGGTAACGAAAAAAATTATCGATGATTCGCAATTGACGCTTCGTATCCACTATCACATATCCTCCCGTGGGTGTTGTAAGAGGTGTCAGAGGGAAACTGAAACAACTGAAACAGGAACACTAAAAGAGATGGACAGAAGCATCTTCCCGATAACAATTTAAAATTTTAAAAACTGCGGTTGCCAAGCGTATGACAAAATTCCCTATGAGGCAGTCTATGGAGGAGGCCTATGTTCTGCAGTGGACTTTTATAGGCTATAATAGATGGGTGCATTAATGGATGTTATCTGCGCGTGGGTATATTTAATTTTCAGCTTACCTAAATAAATGCCCATGAAGAAGTCGGCAGCCGCGAGGTTGGTGACGAGGAAGCGCGGTACGTCGATGCGGCTGCGGCTGAACACCAGCACGAAGACGACGGTCCCGTTACCCAGCAGCGCCAGCAGGAACACCGCCCACACGCCGCAGCGCAGGGTCCACCAGTCGAACAGGTCCACACACGGCAAGAATGGCCCTGTTAAGTCAAAGCCAAAAGTTTTTTATTTAATATGTTCTCTAAGAGCTTAAAACCAGAATGGCAACATTTTGTGCTTATAATAAGTTGCCAGGGGACAGCTGCGAGTTGAGGGGGAGTTTTATTCACAAAATATTTTAAGTATTGTAAAACCATGCCGCTTTTCACTCCATCCATAATCAAGTTTCATTTTAAAAGCTTGTTTCGGCCACTAACGCCATCTGCGAATGCGAGCGCCCTCTGCACTGTGTAGCGAGAAAACAAGAAATAAGCCTGTGTAAGAAGCCTGCATAATATAATTGTCTTATAACCAATACCTTTAATTTTTTGTCAGCACAATTTTATAATACGAATTGAATAAACGATTATTAATAAGGAAGTAAATAAATTCATTGATTTGGAAGCCCTCTCAAAATTCAAATCAAAGCTTTTTAAATTTGATGTAATTTTCTTGTTTCACGCCAGTAAAGAAAAAATATTATAAAGTTATATGCTATGTGCGTGGGCTGCTCAGAAAATTTTGCAAAACTAATAAAAGGTTTAAGTGTTTATTATTACATTTTTTACACTTTTTAGGGTTCCGTACCTCAAAAGGAAAAAACGGAACCCTTATAGGATCACTTTGTTGTCCGTCTGTCTGTCTGTCTGTCAAGACCCTTTTTCTCAGGAACGCGTGGAGTTATCAAGCTAAAATTTATATCAAATACTCAAGTCTACTGTCCCTTAGAGCTGTGAAAAAATCAAACTTCTAAGCCAACGCATTCAAAAGATAAAGCCGCTTATTCCGTAAATTTTCGACATTCGCAACGGAATCAAAACCTACAGGGTACTTCCCGTGAACTCAGAATCTTGAAATTTGGTACGAAGCAACGTTTTGGTACGAAGCAACGTTTATAGCACAGATAAAGGAAAAATTGCGAAAAGCATAAATTTTTAGTTACATCATATTATAATAAAAATATTTTTAATAATTTTAAACTTATATACCTACAGATTTGTTCGGAACCCTCGGTGCGCGAGTCCAACTCGCACTTTGCCGGTTTTTTTTTATTCCGCTTCGGACATCACTCCTACACAAGGCTCATATTTCGCATGTAGCACATATTTCGGCGATGAAAACTGTAGGTATCCTTTTTAACTGATTGTTTATATTAAAGATTAAAAATAAGTCGCACCAAAATGACTTTACCGTCGTTTATCGGAAGTTAATAATATTTTGCCTCATGGTGCGAAAGTAAGTTGTGGTATTTTTTACGCCGCTACCACACGGCGAGGAGCCGAGTCTGTTCTTTCGGCTTTGTCGCTCGTTTAGCACCACCCGGGGGACACGTGTAGGGTGGGCCTAGGATTAGGTGGTCGAAGCCTACGGACGCGAGCGACTCATCCAGTTTAGCAGGGATGGTAGATATGATAAGGATATAGAACGACGAGTGAATGCAGGAAATAGAGTGAATGGGGCTCTACACTCTATTGTGAAAAGTCAGAATGTGTCCAAAAAGGCACGTATGGCAATTCACAATGCTGTGTTAGTACCTACTTTAATGTATGGTAGTGAAAGTTGGGTGTGGCAGAAGAAGCATGAGAGTAGAATAAATGCTGTAGAAATGCGGTCATTAAGGAGTATGTTAGGGATGAAGCTGAATGACAGAGTGAGAAATTGTTTAATAAGAGAAGAGTGTGGTTTGCAAGATGATGTTGTGACCAGGATTAAGAAAGGAATGCTTCGGTGGTTTGGCCATGTAGAAAGAATGAATGAGGAAAGAGTGACAAAGCAAATTTATGTTGCAGAGGTGAACGGCATAGCCGGGAAGAGTCGCCCTAGGCGAAAGTTTATCGACCAAATTGGCGATATATTAAAAATGGGCCAAATCAAGAGTACCTTTAACCGACGAGCGTGTATGCGTAGGTATATGGATGTGGAGGAAGCGAGAGAGGTGTGTCAAGATCGTGCCAAATGGAAGTCCATAATCTCTGCCTACCCCTCTGGGTGACAGGCGTGAGTGTTTATGTATTATCGGAAGCTCTGAGCTTTTCTGGCATGTCCCATTAGTCGTATCTTACGTGATAAAATGATGAAATGTGAGAAGTCTGACCAGGCAAGGGCAGGCAGCGGATTCGAGGGCGGCGCGCGGCGCGCAGCTCGCCCGCCAGCTCGCTGCCCCACGCCCCGCTCGCCGCTCCGCTCGCCGCCTCGCCCGTCGCGTTTACTGCGGACACCAATCGTTGCATTGAAACATATAGCTTTTTTTGAACATAATAAACACAGCTTTAACTAAGGCTGCTCACAAAGCAAGGTCATGCAATGTATCCTAAAATGTAGGATGTTTAATATTTCTTTGATAAACTTGTAAAACTGAAATAAATTTATCTAAGGACAACTTATTATTTTACATAATAAGATAATATTTTCTTGATAGAAACAAGAAATAAAGTGACCTCTGTTTTTCGGCTATTTTTGTTTTGTTATTAATACGGTACAGATTTTAGAGCAAAAAATTAGATAAAATATACAATCAGTTACAACATAATAATATGACAAACAAACTTAAAATTAACTGTGTAGTGGCGGTGTAAGAATATCTATTATTCCACAGCGTCACGCGTCACACTCGGTCATTAAGAGGCGACAGAGAGAAACCGAAACAGGAGTTGTGCAACAGGATCTGACTGATAACAATTCAAAATTGTACAAAACTGCGGTTGTCAACCCGTCAAGCCTGTCAAGCGTATGGCCAGGGATTGGATATGGGAGGCTATGTGGAGCAGTGCACTTCTAGAGGCTGCAATAGAACGGATGGAAGGGAATCACAACTGATTGTGTGCAGTCATCGTAATGATTACGCGTTTTTTTAAATTGTTATACCGAAGGATGTAGAATAAATGTTAATATAATTCATACGAAAAAACAAACACAAATTATAAAACAGTAATATACAACTAACCGAGACTACGTGTCATTAAATTTCAATTATAATTATTTTTATATAGATTTTTGGAACGTCTGTATATTATGCTGTGTGTCATTACTTGGGAAAAGCCTTTGTATGTTCAACAGTTAACTTATGAAGGGCTGTAATGATGATGATATGTACATCAATGTTCATGTTAGAACTCCTGTACAAGCTGCTGAATGTTTGCAATGAAGGTCAATAAAACTATACTAACGGTAGTGCGGCCAGATGTCGGTGGCGTTGGCCCATGCGGCCAGATCCACGCGACGCGGCGGCAGCAGCACCAGGTCGCTGAAGCCGCCCTCCTCGCTCTCCGCGCCGTCCTCCTCCCCCGCCGCCGCACTCTCCGCCAGCGGCATGAACTCGCAGCAGTGGTACGCGTACGACAGCACCAGGGTCTACACAAATAACGCATAAAGTTCATTTTTAATACGTGAATAGTTTTTGACTTACCGGAATACAAGGATTTTTTTAATGGAGCAAATATTATTTAAATTTAAGCTATAATTTTGCATTCTGTTCCCTTAAAATAGAAAAAAGAGATAAGCGTATTATTTGTTTGTAGTTGTACCGTAAAAGAGAACCTCAAAAGTTCAGCCCCGTGCTGTGGAAGAGAGTTTTGACTGTCGTGGGTCTCCATTGAGCTCTAGCTCTTATATTAAATTCCTACTTCAGGAATATACTCGTAATATGATAGCTACCCTATTCTAGCCCTTTCATACTTAATGCACAAAAAATATTAACATTAATAATTATAAACGTCAATTCAATTGAATCGCATTCTACTTAATTTTATTCAAATTTAAATATGAAGTAGGTAATATGATTAATGCGTGGAAGTTATTCTAAGAGATATAAAAATATATGTTTAATCAATTATTAGGTATTATTAGGTAGTACATGATTGATAATAACCCTTGGGAATGAAGTGATCGCTACCATCCTGTTTCTAATCGTTTTCATACTTAATTGTATAAAATATTAATATATTGTTAATTAAAAAAAAAGTTCGTCTGGGATTTTTGCTGGTTCTTCCCAGTACCGATGTTTTTTCGAACCAGTGGGGAAAGCTTAAATGTCTTTAAATGAGAATTCTTGTAATCTATATTGAATAAAAATGAATCTATTCTATTCTAAGAAACAAATAATTGATACAATAAATGGCCTTTGTTAATCTTAAATTTAAATATCGCCACATTAATAAATCCTATCCAAGCGATGGCGCGGGGCAGTCATATGAAATGAATAAGTTAGTACATAATTATGTTGGGTCTCATTGCACTGATCCAGTAATGCGTGAAAAGGCAACGCATAACTTAACACAACTTAACAAAACTGCCGGACTTCGCGTTCAATATCGTTATTTAATATCAAAGTTTTTACACAATTGCAAGTGCTATTGTATAAAGCGCTGCTGCGGTAGCTACTAGCTCTGACATTTACATATTGCTAAGAGAGAGTTCGTAGTTAGCCATTAGATAAACTGTTATTTAATATACAGTTGAAAATTATGGTCGATGTCAAGACGAAGTCAATCACTCCTGCTCGCGCAGCAGCTGCTGATTTACAGATAAAGCAGACGTGCCGACGGCCAAAACATTCAATTTTCTTAAAGAGGAGGTGACAAACGTGGTAGAGCCATGCTGCAGCTATATTAGTAGTATAGTTGTAGCACGAATGGTTCGGCTCGACCGGGGAAGGACCACGCACTCACAGAATACCAGCGTAAAGTAGCAGCTTAACACTGCTGTGTTTCGTATGGTGAGTGTAGAGAACCGGAGACCCTTTTTACTGGAAAAGAGGCATTCCATCTTAGTCCTCACGGGTGAAAACGCATCTGCATTTTGATTCGTAAACGAGGATAGATGTAGATATCTATGGGCCACAGCAACCGGTGGACAGTATGCTCGTTTGTCACCATATCTTATAAAAAAGAACATGAACTTAGTTCATGTACAGTAAAACGAAAATAAATACAATGTACAATGAAAAAAAAATTGGTGTTACAATAGGCGGTCTTATCGCAAAAACCGATTTATTCCGGACAAACTTGACCAAAATTGTGTGGTTTGGTGATGCAGAAACAGATAAATACATCCATAAAATATATGGTCAGAGAAGGTTAAGAATAAATAATATAGGTTAAGAATAAAATAAATATCTCAAACATTCTATCCTTTTTATCTTACACGCAAACATTGGTAAGAGTCGCTCGATTGACAAAAGCGTTGTGAATCGCACACAGAAGAGCGCGCGTACGCGTAGTTCACATTCAATTTGGCATAATCTATACATATAATAAAACTGTAAATAGCAGATGTCTGTACATTTTATATTTTTGTAATAAAAGTGATTGAGGGGTACTAAAAATAAGTAATTAAATACATTTCTACCATTTTTAGAATTTTCTGTCTGTCTGTCTGTCTGTCTGTTTGTTGGTTAACGTATCACGTATAAAGTACTAATTTTTATCATAAGAATTGTTAAGGAAATTATAAAGTGTATCTTCGGGTTACATTTAGTCTTTATTTCATTAAAATCAGTTTATTCCATCAAAAGTTATGATAAATATTCTGAAGTACGGGTAGGGAAGTATAGGTACGAATTTGCTCAACGGTGGCTTTGTTTGAGTCATCAAGTGCATTTTAAACTAATATCATATCATAAATCATAGTTAAATTATGTAAAATAATGATATAATTACGTATATCTAAAACGCAGTAAACAAAAGTATTAAAGAACGTATTAAATATATTATACAAAAATATATTAACCTTATTAACTAAAATCTGAAGCACAATAGTTAACCCATTTCTTCGATAGATGGTGGTGTTGTGAAAATGTAATGGAATTGCAATGTGGTTTTTACCTGTAGATGAGTTTTCATATTTACTGCTAATCTTTATTATATTACTCGCTGCCCTACTGCGTGTTGACAAACTCAATTTATTCTTTACCGCCGAGTACTCTTTGTGGTAAATCAAATTTTAAAAGAGCTATTAACAATTGCGTTGGTTTTGGCGAGAGTCAAACTTTATTTTTTGCTTACTGTGCAGGCACTGATTTATAAGTTCTCTTGCGTTTTATATAATGTATCAATCGCGTCAATTAATCTCTTTTATTTTTAGAATTGATGTTAGCAGCGCCATCTCTCTTTAAATATATACATATAATAAAAATGATGATAACATGTTGTGTCTCTTTCTGTACATTGTATATATATTTTGGTGGCTAAAATCATTATGGGGAACTGAAAATAATTAAATAAGAACATTTTATAATTTTTAGAATTGTCTGTCTGTCTATTTGTCTGTTATTATATGAACGCATCACGTCTAAAGTAAACATCTTTTATTTTCAAAGAAATCGTTAAGAAAATCATAAAGCGTATCTTCGAGTTACATTTAATCTTTGTTTTATTAAAATTGGTTAATTCTATCAAAAGTAATGATTATTATTTTGAAATGTAGGTTCGAATTTGTTCAATGGCGCCATAAAATCTCAGAAATAGTAATAAAAAGATTTGTGTGTAAAAAAAACGTTCCATAATAATTAATATATTTATACTTAAAACACAAAAAGAGATTTAAAAAGGATGTTTTCTCACACAAAGGACGTAATAGATGGAGTTGTACAAATTACAAACTTTTCTGAATTGCAGTGTTGAGATTTTTCGCCGATGAATCGTATTGAGACAAGAAGCTATACAACGGAACCCGACCAAAAACAAAAATTTCGCAACGAAATGTCGTGATATTGTATTTATAATATACGCAAAATCAGTACTGCCATCTTAGCGCTTTGGGAACTAGATTTAGCGCTTTTTTGGAATGTATAGCGCGCATTTCGAAATTTTAGCACCTAGCTTAATCCAGCGCTTTTTGGTGTATTTAGCACACATTTCAATATTTTAGCGACTAGCGGGTTATTAACTCTTTTATAGCAGCACTGTTAGTCCACATTACCGATAATAATAATAATGACCTTTATTATTTTTTCCCACAAATAGTACATTGCAGTTTATCTTTTTCAAACATATTTTTTCCACAAAACAAAGAGCATGGGAGACGAGTCCAAACTAGGATACCCTGTGCTATGGATCTCCTGGCTTCCCCTTTAGGATGATCTACTTGATTTTTTTACCGACGACTATAAGCGGGGAAATCCCCTTTATTAAAGTTTTCGTTCATGGTTTTGCTTTATTCAGTTTCAGTCAGTTGCTTAGAGCACAGCTAAGTTAAAAGTTACTTAGAAGTTATAACACAAAGAAACTGTGTAGCAACCGCAATCAGATGCTGACATCTGAAACTAAGTTGCGAAATACATTGCACTTTAAAACAATTAATGACATTTTTATTGTTCGTACAGTACTAACTACTGTTGACAGCAATTGCCATAATTATAAGTCGATGTCCTGCGAAGTATTGAAACATCAAAAAAATATTGCCAGAAAAAAAACTTAATGTTGTTTTCTTTATTATGATTATATAAAAAAAACACAAATTTGTTTGTAGTTAATTTAGCGCGAAATCTAGGGCTTTTTTAAAGCGCTGTTTTCATGAAATCTAGCGCTTTTTGTGTAGAGACCTAGAGCTGAATGAGTTTTTTTTTATCTGGCAGCACTGCCCAAAAACCCTCTATTAAGAAGTAACTTTCCTTTGAGTTTTAAGCGCGTTCAGTTCCCAGTTACAGTGAGCGTGTGTTATGCGATGACCCTAAATAAAGCGCAAGGTCAAACTTTACGCGTTGTAGGAGTGTACCTCAGTACTGACTGTTTTGCACATGGCCAACTCTATGTTGCTTTTTCCCGCGTTAGTAGCCCCCGTAACCTTTTTGTGTACACCCCGGCTAAGCCTACTTCTAACGTCGTTTACACAGAAGCTCTATCATAAACGACTTAGAACTTTGATGATAATGATTTATTTAGTTACCACTTATTGATACAGTAATGAAATAAATCGTTTAATATTCTCTTACCTAAACGACAAATTCTTTATGTAAAACCTGTATACGCGAGCTACGCCGCGGGCACAGCTAGTTTCAAATAAAAGTAGAAGCCTTATGTATTCGTATTTTCAAAAATTGCAATAAATATATATCATTATTTATATATTCAAAATGAAATATAAAATTTGGCTACTCTAAAAATTACCCTGTATACTTATACATATAAATAGCATAAACTCAACGATTTAGACAGTGATTATGTACACGCTTCTAAACAACAGATAAAGATTGGGCGCGTCTCGCTAATAGAGGTTGGGCATTAAACAATCGAAGTATATTTGGCATTTTATGAAGCAGTAGGTTCTTTTCTTGAAGATCCCCGAGTCAAAACAGTCATAACTTTGACAATAACGTGTGTCTATTATTTTAAAAGAGCGTTATAAATATGTCTACCCCCTTAGAATTACTCCTAATACGAGTATGACCTCACCCTAATGCACAAAAATTTCGAATAGATTAATCTAACATACATAAATACTATTAAATGAATTTTGGATTTTGCTGAGCTGTTGTTAGAGATTATGCTCAAAGCTTCGTTGAAGTTTACAGTTAGATCTAAAAATAAAGAGCAATTGATATTTAAATCTAATCTGCTAAATCAGTATTGTTTTATGTATGGAAAAGATATACTTAACATATACCCGTCTCGTGGAGTAACGAACTAACGACGGATTAAGTTATTAAATTTGGTTTCAATACACACGCAAGGACTTAGCAGTAAGCGTACACCTTCTTTACAAATTATAAAAAAATTCTGAAATAATGTCCCCCAGACCGAATTTCTAGGCTAGTCTCAACGGAGACGACGTCAGTGCAGGTGTAATTATAGTGCCCAAGTGTTTGCGCAAACACATTTAAGAGATCAGGCGCAGGACCAATTGCTTTACGCGCTTGCCGAGGCATGGGGGTGAAACACCGCCAATTTCCTGAATCTGGATGACTACTGAGAATTTCTTGACAGATTGGCCCGACTCGGGAATCAAACCCGGGACCTCGTGATCAGCAACCGCATTTAGGAGCACTAGAGGCAGGCGGACACGAGGCAGTCTGAAAATATACTAGAAGCGCTCTTTTATCATATTACGAAATAAAACGGATAAGAAGTAGTACATGAATTTATGTAAGTACATTGGATTGAGACAAAATAATCTCATTTTGTATAAGTTCTATGTGTGACGCGTAATATCTCACAATCCTTGTTCGTGTGGTTACTATATTGATTGATGTTCCTCTGGCAGAATTCCATCACAGCGATTATTCGCAAATACTGTCGGAACTATTAATTCAGGAATTTAAGACGGGCTAGAGCCACACTGTAGCTGTATTATTGTTGCACGGATAGTTCGGTTTGACCGGGGTATTAAGCTCTTACAGAATATTGGCGGCTCTCTGTGGTTACAGCATCCACTTGTTATCAAGTAGACTGTGTAATAAAATATTAATCTTACATCTAAAATAATTGCCAACTTACTTCTTTACCTAAACGATGTAATATCATTGCAATTTATTGAGTTCAGTAAGAGGCATATTTTTGCAGAATTATTGGATACTTTAATGAATTATATATGAATTTATGAGTCAACTGAGCATTGTTTACTGGCGCTACGCTTGTCGTATCTTTGTTGTTTTAACTGAGGGGTCTATGACAATAAATTAATGATAATAGTTATGGTAAGAGGATCCACTGCGCCAAAGTGGAACAGCAGGTGAGCAGCAGCGACTTCCTAAAAACAACTGGAAACAATAAACAGCTGCGGTTGTCCTGCTGCCTAGCAAGTGACAACTACTAAACATGAGGCAGCAGTGGAACTTTTATAGCTCGTAATGCATGAGTTGATGAATAGTACCTGTATCCTTGGAAAGAGTTCAGGTGGATGGAAGCGGCGCAGGTTGGGGTTGTTGTGCGCCTTGAGGTGCAGCAGCCGCTGGAGCCCGCTGGCCGGCAGTCGCGGGAACAGGTTGTTGCCCACGTTCCTGCGGATACCACGTCCAGAAACGTTCATTTTATTCTTTTAATCTAAACGATTTTAATAATCATTAATGTACTAAAAATATATAATTTTGAATTTGATAAAATTAACATTTATTGTAAATGTTTCTGACAGTTTTATTAGATATTTGACATTTATTAACTTTATTGTTTATAAAAACTTGACGCTAATAACTTGACGATAATAGATACATAGGTAATTGACATTAATTAAATAAATAAATGCAAACATGACATTAATTTTCTGATCATGATTTTTTAATAATTTATATATTTATTAACATTCGATTATTGCGTAAAATTGTAATAATAATAAAAGTTTAGTAATGATTTCTATATATTTATGCGAACACTACACATTTAAATAAAACTAATAGTTTAGTGTCTATATAAGTAAAGATATTGCACGCCATTATCGTGGTAGAACGAAAGTAATTAATAAAATTAATTATTAAAGATTAAAAATGCAAGAATTTAATAAATAAATTAATTATTTATTACATTCTGGCAATGAATATAATTGAATTAAATTTATAAAACACAAAATGTGCTAATGACCCATAAAATAATGCATAGCATCTGACAAATACTTACAAGTCCTCCAGTTTAGAGATAGGAACGAAGGTCTCCATGTCGATGTGCTCTATTTGGTTGCCCTCGAGGTCTCTGCAATAAGTGTAAACATATTTGGTACAACAGTGCTTCTGCAATGACGAAAGTCACGTTGACCGTACATTTTATTAGTTATTTATTTAAAAACTTTATTGCGTCCCTTTAGAAAAAAAAAGGATACAAAGGGCGGACATAATGCCTCAAGGCATTCTCTACCAGTCAACCCATGGAGTGGTGAGAGTTTGTCGTAGGCGTAGCAATAAAAAGGAAAAAAAAGTCAAACTAAAATTAATACACATTATATGTAACAACAGTACATCATCACTGCCGTCACCATCACCCCATAAAAGTCTAATATGAGCCTCCCTCGTTGTTAGATCGAATTGACTGCAGTTTGATGCAGTACCAAATGTCTCGCACCTTTGAAGTTGCTTCTCGTCGTCAGTCAAATCCTCTCCACTATGAGAGAAGGCTATATCTAGCAGTGAACTAAGAAGAAGAAAAGAATAACTGTTACATTTGTGGTAATCTATCTATGAGCTGTATTCCACGAGGGTACCTCCCGCAGAGTTCAAACAGGAGTGAGCTACTCGGAACACAGTTAGCCATAAAACATGGGTTTGAATGGATAAATGTGACAGAAGTTAAAGGTAGCTTGCCCATCGTCTACACAATCACAAACCCAATGTCACATTAGTCGCTTTTACAAAACGTTATGCAATTCTTTTATGTTTTAAGTCCCACATAAATACGGGATCTATAAGTCCCAGACAAACATAGGACGCCAGTAAATATTAAGTTAATATTATTGAAATAGTCAGTAACAAACTTTTTAGACAATTCAATTTAAACTTACAAAGAATGAAAACCCAGTAAGTATAAACATGCAAATTTTATGGCGTCAGACAGATTTCGTTATATAAGATGTTTTCGCTGCAAATACTCTTTGAATGAAGCCATCTTTACATAGTTAATTAAAATGGTTGGCTTTATTGCAGTGGCGGTTCTGGAATGACTCAACCAACGATATCGCGACACAGAGGCTTTTTTTGTTTGTAGATGCATGAAAAATTATGTTGCGATTTAGCTCGATCGCTGACGCCGCCCCAGCGAGCTGTGGCGATCTTGCTTCGTTATTAGCATGTGTCAACTACGTTGTTTTAAACAGACATTTTACTAATCAATGCAACTGTTACAACAACGACGAATAGCAATAAAAGTTATGGTTTTGTCAGGTCAGGTATATATCCTGATGACGCCGTGAGGCAGAACCGGCCGCTCTTATAATTAGTGCATAATATTAATATTAATAAAGTGAAGTACATTTACAGCCTATATACAGTACATCCCACTGCTGGCATGCATATGTCACTCATGCTACCTGCGTGAAATACTCGTAATTACCTATATATTATAATAACGGCAATTTTGACAAACCTGATTATGATTATTGAATATTCGAAGACATTATGACTATGAGATTTTAATTTAAATCTATTGAAACCAAATAAATATTGAGTGAATTGAAATATAAATTTGTCTTAAATGAGCTAATCCGAACCAAAACCAAATCTTCCACGTGTATTGATAATTTCATCTTAAATGACGATGATGATTTTCAGTATCACAGAGGTAAAGTATTAGACGTAAAGTTATCAGACCATAATGTCATAAAATTAATGTATAAATTGAATTCTAAGTATCCTAAACCAAATGAGAAGACTGAGGTTAGATCTCAGGAAAATATAAAATATTTTAATTACTTGTTTTGTAAGGACTTTGAATGTGCAAGAAATGATATAAACTTGAAAGCTGACGCAAATGAGAAAATTAACATTCTGATAGACCATATAACATGTAAACTCAGAAAAAACAAGAATAAACTAATAACCAAAGGTATTTTGATATCTAGAAATAATCTTCAAAAACTCGAAATATTACACAACCTGTATCCAGATAAAATTAGGAAATCTAAACTAAATTTTAGGCAAATATATAGAAAAGTACTTCAAACAGCTCCAAAACTTAGGAACGTATCTAGAATTAAAAATTCCACAAATAAAATTAAATCCACTTGGACAATTATTAAAGAACCAAAATATTACGTAAAAACACAAGGTAAAAATAAAATTACTAAAATTAAAAACCACGCTGAAGAGATAATCACAAATAATAAATATATAGCAAATAGTTCCAATGAGTTCTTTTGCAATATAGCCGGTGAACTTACAGAAAATTTAGATATTAAGGTTGAAAATTGTAGCGGAAATTCGCTTTCCTAAATTAAGTAAATCTGAATTTTGGAATTTGTAAAACATCGAAAGACATATACGATATGTCAACAAAAACTATTAGAGAACTTATCATTCGCAACAAAGACATGTTTGATATAATATTGGAAGTCTTGAATGATTGCATCACACATGGGATTTTCCCAGATAGCTTAAAATAGGGAATATCGTGCCACTGTTCAAAAAAGGAGAAACTACTGAAATTGGGGATTGCAGACCGGTGTGTATATTACCAATTATATCAATGATTTTAGAAACTGCCTTAAAATCTAGGATAAAGCTCGATTAGAATTTATTTTTCTTCTAATTTTTTTTTCTTATTTAAAAAACGTTAACGTTTTCGTAAACGTTAACGTTTCGTATTAACTGCCAGCTCATCCGGTACCTTGAGGATCACCAGCTGATTAGTGACCGCCAATACGGTTTTCGTCGGGGTCGATCAGCTGGTGATCTTCTGGTCTACCTGACCCATAGATGGGCGGAGGCAGTAGAGTCCAAGGGGGAGGCGTTGGCCGTTAGTCTGGACATTGCGAAGGCCTTCGATCGGGTTTGGCACAAAGCGCTTCTTTCGAAGCTCCCTTCCTATGGGCTTCCCGAGAAATTGTGCAATTGGATCACCAGCTTCCTTGCAGATCGGAGCATCAAGGTCGTTGTAGACGGTGCATGCTCTGACTACAAGCCTATTAACGCTGGGCTTCCACAAGACTGTGTGCTATCACCAACGCTGTTTCTTCTTCATATCAATGATATGTTGCTAACTGGTAACATTCATTGCTATGCGGATGACAGCACTGGTGATGCTCTATACACCGGCCGTGCCAATATTTCTCGGGAAAACGTCGCTGAGTACCGGAACGAACTTGTGTCTGAAGTCGAGTCTTTGCTGAACAAAGTCTCGGATTGGGGGCGACTAAATCTAGTCCAGTTTAATCTTCAGAAGACACAAGTTTGCGCGTTTACCGCTAAAGAGAACCCCTTTGTCGTATCTCCTCAGTTTCAAGGCACTCCCCTTCTTGCCTCATCCAGTATCGGTATCCTCGGAGTCGACATATCGAGTGACGTGCAGTTTCGTGGTCACTTGGAAGGGAAGGCCAAATTGGCCTCTAAAAAGCTTGGCGTGCTCAACAGAGCGGGACAGTATTTCATGCCGGCACACCGCCTGCAACTTTACAAGGCGCAAGTTCGGCCTCACATGGAATACTGTTCCCATCTCTGGGCAGGGGCTCCCCAGTGCCAGCTCCTTCCACTTGACTGCATCCAACGCAGAGCGGCTTGAATCGTCGACGACCGAGCCCTTTCCGATCGGCTCGATTCATTGGCACTGCGAAGAGATGTTGCATCCCTTTGCATTTTCTTTCGCATCTACCATGGGGAGTGCTCTGAAGAATTGTTCGGATTAATCCCAGCCGCCAAATTTCACGAACGCACATCGCGGCAGAACTCCCGATACCATCCACACCATCTGGATGATTGGCGGTCCACCACTGTGCGATTTAGAAGATGTTTTCTTCCTCGCACGACCTCCTTGTGGAAGCGATTACCATCAGCGATTTTTCCGGACCGATACGACTTAGGGAGCTTCAAAAAAAGAGCGTACTCCTTTTTAAAAGGCCGGCAACGCATCTGCGATTCCCCTGGTGTTGCAGTTGTTCATGGGCGGCGGTAGTCACTTACCATCAGGTGAGCCGCATGCTCGTTTGCCCCCTCTCCTATAAAAAAAAAACGTTAAACGTTTTCTCCTGTGTCGTGGAGGCAGTTTAAAAACATACTCGTAAATTGCACGAGGACAAACATCCAGACCCGGAACAATTATTTGTAGGCCATACAAATACTTGTTCCGTGCGGGATACGAACCCGCGGCCCCCAGCGCATCAACTCATTGCTAAGCCACTGCGCCACGATGCTATCATAAGTCGCAATAAAGTCGAATTAAACATGGATCACAAAGATTGACATCAGCTAGAGCCTAGAGCCTATTTCCAAAAAGCGAAAATCATTACTGTCGTGTTATTGTATATTTATAGTTGTATAGTTTTATGAAGTGCACCACTAAAAAAGTGAACTACCAATGAAGATGCACGTGCACAACTACAATTGAAGAAATCGCGAAAAATTATTTGTTCCAAGAACCAGATTAGTCAAAGCGTCCAAGCAAGGTTTGCCATTAAAAATCAAAATGTACAATAAATTGCCTTTATATGAAATAACAAGACTTCCATTAAACGCGTTTCGACAAGTGACAAAAACATTCTTTATGCATCACACTTTCCATAATATAGAAGAATTTATGAAATGTTCATTTTCTGACACGCTTGACATGTAAATAATGTAAATGTAGTATGTAATGTAATCTAACGTAATATTATATCATTTGAATTGTAATTTTGACGTACCAATGTTATGTAATGTAACGAAATAGCCAATAAGTAAATAAATAAAAGTTTTATTTAGCTTGCGTGCGCGATTTATCTTAATAATAATAACTATGTAGGGTATTAAAACGTCGGCAAGCAGTCAACATCAACGGAGTGCAACTTCTGTACGTAGTACTACTATTTATTTTGTGCTGCTGGGCACAGGCTTCCTATCACTTCTGAGAGGGTGAAGAAGAAAAGTGAAAGAAGAAAGTGTCCACCGCGCTGCCCCAATGCGTGTTGGCGGATTTCACGTCTTATAAATATTTTTTATTTTTTCATTTCTCAAACATACAGGTTTTCTCACGATGTTTTCCTTCAGCACCGAGCACGTGGTAAATCAGCACTTAAAATTGCAATTAACGATTTCATTGGTGGCGGCAGGGTCTGAACCTTGATCGATCAACTTGATCGTTGTGGTAACTGTGAATGTTACAGCGTGCGCTAAGCGCCTGAGCCATCGGGGCTCAGTATAATGATAATTTAAAATAAATATTGTGAAATTAGTACAAGTGTTTATCCAAATCAGAAAAATTAAGCTGGAGTTTCACCAAGTGACAACAATATAAAAGTGATGTTTTGTAGGTAGTCCACAAAACAGAGTAAGTAGTAAAATGTATTAATGTAGTATCTTTATGGTTCTTCTCGAAAATTGATAATAGAAATGTTCTCAATTAAGAACCAAAATGCAGATGAGTTTTCCTCTATGAGGACTAAAATTAAATGCCTAGTTACCAGTAAAAAAGGGTATCCGGTTCTCTAAGCTTACTAAACGAAACACAGCATTAGCTGCTATTTTACTATATTTGATTATATACTATTTGACTAAAAAAATGCGGATGCCAACACGCTTGCCAAGCGTGGCAACTATAAAAAATGTCCCCTCTTTGACGCAATCTATAGAAGACTTTAATAGGCTGTAATGGTAACGGAGGAGAAGCAGGCACACTGACAGCAGTTGCAGGTGCGGCGTGTGCTGGAAGGCATCGGCTGGAAGACGGCGCAGGCGGTTGCGAGCCAGCTGCAGGTCGTGTAGCCGCCGCAGCCCGCGTAGCGCCCCCCCACCCACCTCCGACACCAGGTTGTCCGACAGAGACCTGCGCAACATCCACCTTGTACACCGTATACACTAAATGTTAAACTCATTAGTAGCTCATTTGGGTTTATATAAATGTATAGTTTATGTAATTTATTTATTTTTATATGTTTATAAATTTAAAAAATATAAATGCATATATTAAATAATTACTATATAAAGTATGTATTATTTTGTTTTATATTTATTTACTTCAATTAATATTTCCATCTTTTAATATTTTACACAGCTACTTCATATTTTTATCTCGGCATCAATCAAAGGTTTTTTTTATAGGATAAGGGTGACAAACGAGCACACAATCCACCTGATGGCCCATAGACATCTATAATATCTATCCTCAATTACAAATTTAAATGCAGATGCATTATCACCCGTGAGGACTATGATGGAATGCCTCTTTTCCAGTAAAAAAGGTCTACGGTTCTCTACACTCACCATACGAAACACAGCAGTGTTGAGATGCTTTTAAAGCTGGTATTCTGTGAGAGCGTGGTCCTACCCCGGTCGAGGCGACCTATTCGTGAAACAACTCTACTACTTATACAGCTGTTGCATGGCTCTACCACGTAAGAAAAGTTGACTGGTAGAGAAAGCCTCAGGCATTAAGTCCGCCTGTATATCATGTATGAAGTTAAATAAATAAATAAATACTCAATAAAAGCTGCCTGATTGTGGTGGTCTAGTGATCGTAATCGCGACTGCTGATTCATGAAGTCCTGGGTTCGAATGCCAGGTTGGGCCAACAAAAAAGTTATTGAGGTTTTCTGTCATGAAATTCTCAATAGTAGCCCGGAGTCAGGAAGTTGGCGGTGTTACACCCCCGTGCCCCGGGAAGCGGAAGCAGTTGGTCCTGCGTTTGATCTCTCTCCGTCCGTATCGGTTTGCAGTCCCAACGGACTATAAGAGTGAGGAAATAGACAGTGCACCTGTGCTTGCGTATACACTCGGGCAATATACGAGTAATCCTGTCCTGCGCCGATGGCTAGTCTCCGTTGAGACTGGCCGCCGTGGCCGAAATTAGGCCTACAGGACCTTATGCTCATATTGTATATACCGTCGCTTCTGTATGGTCTTTTGTCTATCTTGTACAATAAATTAATTATACGTATAATACTGCGTCACTTTGTGGCAAGAGTTGAGATGAATTGAGTGAGTTGTGAGTAGGCGGACAAGACGTCACGGCAATGGAGTCATTTGTAGCCGTCCGCCAGCGACGTTACGACTAAAAACGTCCCACTGACATAGAGGCTAATTTTTTTTCGTGTAATAATGATGTTAGACTCTTTGATGTTAATCTATTTAGAAAGAGAATTGTTCGAGAACAAAATATAAAAACATAATTATTACTAATTTAATAGATTTTTTTTATAGACAAGCGAGCACACACCGGATGGTAAGTGGATGCTGTGACCCGTAGACATCCGAATCTATCTCCGATTAAGAATCAAAATGCCGATGCGTTGTCAGCCCCGAGGACTAAGATGGAATGCCTCGTATCCATTAAAAAGGGTCTCCGGTTCTCTACACTCACCTTACGAAACTGGTATTTTACGCTGGTATTTTGTGAGAGCGTGGTTTTTCCCCGGTAGAGTTGACGCATTCGTGATACAACCATAATATAACTGCAACATGACTACCACGTATAAATCCTTCATTCCTTAACAGCCTATAAAGTCTACTGCTGAACGTAGGCCTCCTTCAAGGATTAAGGATATTTGCCACGGCTGCCACGCTTGGCATGCGGATTGGCAGCCGCATTTTTTTGATTTCTGTAATTGTTATCAGGAAAATGCTGCCGCTCATATTCAGTTCCCCTTTGTCACTTATGACACCCACGGGCGATATGGGGTAATGGATATTCTTATAATGCTACCGCACGGTTCATAGTTAAATAATTGGTTTTAATTATAAAGAAATTTAATAACATAATAATTGAATAAACTATCCAATAGTTATGCAACAAAAACAAAACTATGTTATGTCACTTACTAAATTTCAATGACATTGTATCGTTTAGGTAAGGAAAGAATGAGCTTATACGTGGTAGAGTCATTTTATACATGGTAGAGTCGTGCTGCAGCTATATTAGTAGTATAGTTGTAGTACAAATGTGTCGGTTTGACCGGGGAAGGAACACGCTCTCACAGAATATCAGTGTAAAATAGCAGCTTAACACTGCTGTGTTTCGTATGGTGAGTGTAGAGAACTGGAGACCTTTTTTACTGGAAATGAGGCATTCCATCTCAATCCTCAGAAGTGATAACGTATCTGCATTTTGATTCTTAATTGAGGATAGATGTAGATGTCTATGGGCCACAGCAACCACTTACCATCACATGGACTGTGTGCTCGTTTGTCACCTTATTCTATAAAAACGAACTATATATCCTACGTAATTAGCATTTATTTTTACACGGTAAAAAGTAAAAAAGTAGTAAAAACAAGAGTTGAAGCATAGGTACATTAATGCAAGAGTATATTTTATTTTATCGTGTCAAAGCAAAGTCACGGCCGAACTTTTATGGCTACGAAAATGAACGAAAACATTTTATGCAAAATAAAGAGAGCATTCACCTATTTATTATAACGCAATTTTTTGCGTAAGTGACAAACGACGATACAACCCACACTAGTAGTAGGCAATCACTGCGGCACATTACATACTCGTACGACATTTATCCATATCTGATGAAAAATTAAGATAAAGGGCTTTGTCACCCTGAGAGCTAATGGAATGCCTCGTTATGGGTAGGTGATTGCGGCTCCGATTGTCACCCACAAAACATTTAACTATAACAGTACTATAACTAAACTGTAATCATGAAAACGATAGCTACGGTACAAAGCTATAGATCGGGCATACAACTATGTCATTTTTAAAATGAAAGTGGTAGTGTTAGCGCGTAGAAATTTTATTTACATTAAGTCTTTAGTCCTTGAGCGTGGGAATACCTAACAGAACCACATTGATATTTTCTAATCACACAGACTAAAAAATATTTTCTAAAATAATAACGAAATAGCCTAGAGATTTACAATAGAAAAGGCCGTTTTAAGTATTTTTACTATTGTTGACGATTTTTTTTTCTCGAAAATCAAGATGTTTTTTATAAATATCACGCGATGAAAGTGGAGACTCGTCTATTAACTAATTGAGATATTTTTATGGTTTTAGTGAAGTCAGTACTTTAACATTTTTAAAATTGTAACAGCCTATTTGCGCGTTTCTAAAGGACCGGTCTCTTAAGGGGCTACTCCATGCGAACGACCTTGAGCATTTGACCGGCGCGCCGTTCGCTACAATATTAATATATTGTAGCGAGCGGCTCGCCGGAAGAAATATGTAAGACGCCACCTATTGTACGAAAGTAGTATTATTTTTTCAACATCAATAAACTATTTTATGGAAATACACATAGCGTACAAAGATAAATGTATTTTAATTTTTTTATTCGGTATATTAGTTGCATTATATTAGAATTATGTATTTTCATATATTATCTAATTATGAAATTTTATAATTAATTATATATTAAAAACGGAAGCATTGAAAATTGTGAGTTTAAAAGATACCTATTCACTATAGGTAAATAAATAGATAACTCGGCTTTTGTACAAATATTTGGTGCAATAAAAAATATATAAATACAAAAATCAACAAGAAGCATAAGGGTTCAATGCTTCAATTTCAGTTGTAAAAAAACGTTACACACACACTAGGATTTTCTCCTGTGTCGTGGAGGCAGTTTACAAACATAAATTGCACAAAGACAAACATCCAGACCTGGAACAATTATTTGTAGGCCATACAAATCTTGTTCCATCCGGGATTCGAACCCGCGGCCCCCAGCGCAACAACTGATTGCTAAGCCACTGCGCCACCATGAAGCTAATACAAAGACTAACTTTGTATTTGCTTCATGGTCGCCGGGGTATAGCTAAAGTGACCATACGTCTCGTTTTGAACGGGACTGTCCCTTTTCTCGGTCTCCTGTCCCATTGTCCCCAAACAAAGCTCCGGGACACAAAATTATCCCGTAACTCGTTGGATGGAAGTATTCAAAGTCAACAATCTTCAACATAATTTTTTTTAATCGAATATATTTTATGTCTACCTGGTACGAATGCTCCGGTAGAAAGAGTATTTTTTTATTTTGCATAAATTGTGGACGTCTGAAAGAAACACTTACGGTTCCAGAGTTCTAAAGGCGATGTTGTTAACAAAGATAACAATAAAAAACTTGAGCAGAATTTTATTCTTATTTAAAATCATCACCAACTTTATTAAAGCAAATTTAATCCACTGACAAATGTAATTAATAATTTAAAAAAAATATGTTGCATTTAATAATTACCGTCTATACCGAATATAATTTTATAGTGAACACTAATTGTATAAAGTTATAGTTTTTAGAGTATAAATAAACACATGTCCTGTTATGAGTTAAAAAATAAATGGTCAGTTTAGTCTTTTTAGTTAAATTTAGTTTTAAAATTTTTTAGTTTATAGTAAAAAGTAGGTATATTAGTACTTTTTACCGAGTTATAAGTATAGAACACCTTATGTACTCAATTATTTTTTGAAAAAGAAGAAAAGCAAGCAATAAATAGTATACTATATTTTAGCAAAAAACTATAACTTAGTAATACTAATTATAACTTAGAACATAAATGAAAAACTCATAACTGACTTTTTGGCCCGACCCAGGATTCGAACCCGGGACCTCATGATCAGCAGTCGCACTACTACAACCACTAGACCAACGAGGCGGTACTATACCTAATAAGATATTGTGGTTGGGTGATAATATTGAATTAGCCTTTTATAGTGTAAATTATAATATTTGTCGAAATTTTAATTATGGATTCGAACCTTACATGCTAATCGTGCTTCATTTTTTTATTTGCATTTACTTCAAAGAAAATACACGCAAAAATCTTCATCGCGCAGTAAAAAACACAACAAATATATGTATAACTAATACGAAAAATTATACCCAAAACAAACAAATAATACTACCTATAAATAACCTAATAAGTAATAATATTATCGACTCATATGACGTGGCGTATGCGTTGGTCGACGCTCTAACGACACGGGCTTCACGTCGAAGAGCTCAGCGCTCACTGACTTCAACAAGCCCGTGAGCAGTAAATATGCCCAGATTTTAAAATAATTTCTTAATAAAATCAAATTTTGGTCTTTTGAAAAAAAATTTACTATAGAAATGTTTATTAATAAATTGCCTATCCATTGGTGTAAATCGCAAAATAAAATAACACTTACTTTACGAGGAGATGCATGTTATCAATAATAATTTCACATTTATGTGGTTTCGTTGTAAGGAGATTATATTAATATTTATTCCTTTAAAAAAAAAATTGGATATAGCTTTTATGGAATCAAGATTATGTAGAAATATAATGTGTTTTTTATTTGTTGATATATCTTTTAAATAAAAAGTAGATAGCTCCTAAAAACCGCCCAAATAACGACTAGCGCGACATTTTGCTCAACCTGCGCCTTAAGAAATTACACGTATAACAAAAATCCTTATTTTCAGCAAAGTTGAGTTTTATTTCTTTAATAAATAACGTTACCTCCGCACTAGGATTTTCTACGAGTATTGTATAGTGGAGACAGTTTGCACATAAATTTTACAAGGACAAACATCCAGACCCGGAATAGTTATATTTTTTTTATAGAATAGGGTGACAAACGAGCACACAGTCCACCTGATGGTAAGTGGTTGCTGTGGCCCATAGACATCTACATTTATCCTCGTTTGCGAATCAAAATGCAGATGCGTTGCCACCCGTGAGGACTAAGATGGAATGCCTCGTTTCATGTAAAAAGGGTCTTCGTTTCTCTCCACTCACCATACGAAACACAGCAGTGTTGAGCTGCTATTTGACGCTGGTATTCTGTGAGAGCGTGGTCCTTCTCCGGTCGAGCCGACCCATTCGTGCTACAAATATATTACTAATATACCTGCAGCATGGCTCTACCACGTAATAAAACCCGCCGCCCTTAGCGCTGCAACTTGACGGCTCCGTGGCGCAGTGGCTTAGCAATCAATTGTTGCGCTGGGGGCCGCGGGTTCGAATCCCGCACGGAACAAGTATTTATATGGCCTACAAATAATTGTTCCGGGTCTGGATGTTCGTCCTTGTGCAATTTATGTTTGTAAACTGCCTCCACGACACAGGAGAAAATCCTAGTGTGGGGGTAACGTTTAAAAAAAAAAGAATAAAGAATAAAATTCATTGTTAAGCCCCTGCGACACGGAGCCGTCAGATATTGAGTCAAGGGGTGGCGCTCTCATCGCACCACAGTAGCTTAAACGGACTGAATTACAACCGAAACCTAAAATCACGCTATTAAAATTTCTGAACGACTTTGCTTATGCATATTATGAAATAGTCCTGCTGAGTTCTTCCCAGGACAGAGGTATTTTTCGAAACAGTGGTAAAAATAAAAAAATGTGGCCGAAGAAACATGTTAAATGTCTTCCTTTTCATAGAACGTAATTCATTACTAAATACGTTAAAAAGTAGGAGATCCTGTAAATTATTACTATGAAAAAGATAATAACAAAATTATATTTGTAAAAATTTGCTTGAAACAAACCTTATTACGCTTGCGGGCGTAGTAGCTGACAGGTTCCCGATACAACCGCAAGTTAATATAATCAAGACACACACATTTTTTTCGGGTACCGAGTCGTAAATAATAAGCTTGAGTTATTTATTTATACTTCAAAATATATATGTTAGATGTGTGCAATAATATGATAGCTATATTTTTAATAGAATAAGGGTAACAAACGAGTTTACGGTTCACCAGATGGTAAGTGGATGCAGTGGTGTATAGACAGACATTTTCACTTTTCCTAAATAAAAAATAAATGCAGATGCAGTGTCACCTACTTAAGATAGAATGCCTCGTTTCCAGTAAAAAGTGTGTCCGGTTTTTTACACTCACCATACGAAGCACAAAGTGCTACAACCATAATACAGCTGTAGCAAAGCCTTACCACGTAAACTACAAGTCCAATGGGTCTGGCCACCCAATTTTGTTAAGGGTATCAAAAAATTGTATAAAAAATTACGAATTCAACGGTAATCTTATTTTTTTTCTACCTTTAAAAATGACTGAAATATTGATGAGTAAAGTGGTGTTTTACGGTAAGGCCGACCGCTTAGCTCCGCATCGCGGTGTGACGTCACAAATCGACAAGTCGAGCCACCAGTAGTCTTTATTGTTATATTTCTCTCCATATTTATTACTCCATATTTTTCTTGTCATGTTATTTATTTATCAGTAACCTTTATTTTCTGTTTTTTTTTTAATTTTTGTTATATCACGCTCATTGGAAATAAAATCCTGTAGATCGAAATATCCTTAATGCAAAATTTCATCAAAATCAGTTTAGTATTACACACATTGAATATTTGCGACCGTTGCATTTTCAAAACAGAATAGGTAGGTACCAACTACCAACGTAATACCGCAATCAGTTTATTCAAAAGTAAGTCAAAGTAAAACTAGGACCATATGTTTGCAACCACTGAAGAACTGCGTAACCAACAAAATTTCTTCACGTGTCACTAGGTACTAAATAACAGTACGAGTTGATTAATACTCACTGCATTAGTAAGTTTAAGTAAGTTTTTTTCATTTTATGTCATTGTAAATCATGTGCAACTCGTGGTTCGGTCAGTTAATATCTACCTATGTATTACTGCCTACTAATTAATGGTAAAGCTGTATACTTTTCGTAATCTTTTATTAGTAACTTTAGAGCTTTATTTTACGCATTTCTGATGATAAAAAAATCATAATTTTCTGAAAAATACTGCGCAACCATAAAAATATCCACTTTTGACAGATCATCTGACTGTCTTTTTTCAAAGCCCGCTTCCATTTTCTTTTTTTTACAGCACTACACACCGTGACTATACATATAAATATAATCATATAAAAGCTAAATGTTAAATACTTTAGTTTATACATCAAATCAAATAGTTTATTTGTGATTCACAGTTTACAAAAAGTTCTTATTTAAACACAAATAAAGTTCTGTCTGTGATCATCCTCATGGGCATACAAATGTCAAATATTATTAATAGGTCATTGATTACATTATTCATAATAATAGATTAGATTATTAGATTAAATTATTCATCATAAATAATATTGATTACATTGGATTAGATAAGTATACTTCGGAGCGCGCGGTTAGTACTGAACTTAGCAATTACCTACCGCGCTTTCGCTCTGTCAAATTGTGACGTCACGTCACAGAGAACAAGCGGGTAAAAATTAAAAAAAATTGCGAAACTTCAAAACGTTATACCTTTCGTATTTCTGCACCAATTTGGATAAAACAAAAACTATTGTTATTACATAGCTTTAAAGCTATATAGGTTTTATTGTCAAATTAGAACATGTTGGTGTGACCCAGTAGGTTGAGTTATGAAATATACATGCAGCACGGCGCTGTACTCACAGTACTCGCAGCTCGGAGCACTCGTGCAGGTCCGGCACGCTCTCTAGCAAGTTTGACCGCACGTCCCTGTACACAATAATAAATAACTTTAAGAAAGTCTTTCTTATTATATGAAATTGCTAAATTATGTTGAAGTAATAAAAATAAGCAACCACAAAGCTGCAGCTCGTATTGCAACACATGATACTATTTGACCATTACATATTATAACAACTAATTAAATAATTAGACTTGCAGCGAATAGTATATTCGGCCACACACCGAATACCGAATATTCTGCGGGCTTTCTGGCCGAATAGCCGAATATTAAGCAAAACTATTCGACCGGGAAGGAAGTAGTGTATATTCAGAGCGTCTTTTCTCTTTTTAGTCTCTGAAGTTGGGATTGTTTATGAGACGAGTAAACTACTGATAATGCAGAAAAATATGTCTTTCTGCACCATAATATTCTACTTAAAAGTTTTAATTACGATAATTCTTATGCATAGACATAGAATAGAATAGAATAGAATATTTTTTTATTCAATATACATTACATGTGTAATTCTTATTGAAAGTCATTTTTTACTTTACCACTGGTTCGAAAAAAAAACCCTTCTGTCCTGGGAAGAACCAGCAAGAAACCCAGCGGGACTATAAGATTTTCTTTATTGGTTTTTATAATACGGAAGTTAATTATGTACGTATAACTACTTTTATCATTACAAGAAAAACATTATTATAAAAAAGTGTGTGTGTGTGTGTACTTATGTACGCACGTCGGAAGTTATACTTCTCTAGCGTGACAAAATAAAAAAAACTTGAGAGACAATTACCCACTGAAGTTGTCGCTTTTAGGTGAAGGTGTGCGCGCGCCTCGTAAAAAATTCACTCACATAATTTTTCCCAAATGCCCTAAAAATAAGTAATTAAGTGTTCGGTATTTAACCGAATATGATAAAAATAGCCGAATAGGCCGAACACCTAATAATAGCCGAATATTCGTTGCAAGTATAAATTGAATAGTTAAGAATTTATGAATGGAGGTCAGCAACATACAGGCAATTTCGTTGAATGAAAAGTTAAAAAGGTATTGTTAAATGAAATTAAGAAGTGGTTATATTTCGCGGCTCATTTGAATGCAAAAGTATTTTGAGTGCGCAACAGTCAAACAATGATATCAAATCTATACGATCGAGAATGTAAATGTATGCTATGATGGGATGTATGTATTATGTTGACACACGCAGCAAAATGTGTCAAGGGCTTAACTAAAATCTTTTGATAGGCGACGCTCTTGGAAGAGTTGCATGTAGGCGAGTATAGTGGGAAATATCATAATCCAACAATGTTCTTGTTCTTTGTTCTTTTTTTCAAACGTTACCACTAGGTTTTTCTTCTGAATCTTGGAGGCAGTTTACATAAATAAATTGCACAAGGACAAACATCCTGACCCAGAACAATTACTAGGCCACAAAAATACTTGTTACATGCGTGATTCGAACCCGCGGGCACGGCATTTAATGGTATTTGTTGGAGAATTAAACGACAGTCAAAAGTAAAACAACATCTAATTAAATCTAGGTTAACTGTGACATTGGGACGTTGAACACCTCAGTCTCTCCCGTGACCATGAGTGCTGTGAAGTGCTCGAAATGTCGGGAATATAAAATAAGTTAATATACACGTTAAAATCCGTAAAAACTAGTTTTATTCAGGATGTATTGTTCGTGTGTAAATATAAGAAATCACTAAACATCTAATAAATTTTGAAGCTAAATTCGAAATGGTTTTGCGCTGCTCCAGTCATCAATGTTCACTTCTCGACTTGGGTAATAGTGTGTGTTTTAGTAGTGTCTTCACCAGGAAATAACCCGCTGACAACAAATATATTTAGCACTTAAAGTTGATGATTGTTGTTTCATCTCCAATTGTTTTCAGTAAATAAATAGATTAGAGGAATGTTTGGTGAGGCGGGGATTTACGGGAGCAGTTGATTGCAGCGGCCTCGCGCGATGCAAATAGCAAATGTTGTTGCAATTCAACCATTGTGTTTGTTGGAAGATACATCTTCTTAATGAAACTCTATTTAAATAATACAAAAGCCGCTGCTACGGTTTTTCGTTTTATTAAGTAAAAGCAAACATTTAAGTTAACGCGGCAAATAGTTTCTGCTAATTGTATATTTCATGATTGTTCTTATTCCAAAAAATATATTGTTATATTTTGGCGTACATCTTTATATATAAAAATTACGTGTCATGTCGTTTGTCCGCGATGGACTCCTAAACTATTGAACCGATTTCAATGAAATTTTGCACACTGTGTGCAGTTTGGTCCAACTTGAGAGATAGGATAGTTTTATCCCGCTAAATGACGCTCAAAATTTTTTATTGTGAATTTAAGGATTTTTATAGGAGGGGTCGTTGGAAATGGCAGAACAACGTCTGCTTGGCCAGCTAGTATAATAATAAATTAAAAAGCTATGGCCACTCATACACCAAACTATGCTTATGAATGTACAGTATTTATTTACTAGCGATGGAATTTCTTTGAATAAAACTAGTTTTACGAATTTTACCACGTTTTTATAGAATAAGAGTGAATAAGTTTGTAGCACAAAGTTACCGGGAGTGTTGACGGAGATCTCCATGTTTTTTATACAATTAGAAAGAAAGAAAGTAAGAAACATTTATTGCAATTAGAAGAATTAGGGAGACAAACGAGCACACACAGTCCACCTCATGGTAAGTGCATACTGTGGCCCATACATATCTAACCTTCCATTAAAAATCAAAATGTAGATACATTGTCATCCCCGAGGACTAAGAAAAAGGGGAATCCTCGTATTCAGTAACGGGTATCCAGTACACGCGCATACAGAACACAGTAGTATTGAGCAACTATTTGACGCTGGTATTCTGTGACAGCTATAATACAGCTGCAGTACGGCTCTAGCACGTTATAGACGTTTAATTGTTTTAGGGACTACATAAAAGGGATTTACGAAACTATTCAAAATCAATGTACACATTTAACTTATTCAATGTGTAGAAAAAAAGACGATGAAAGCGGTAAAGCGATCAAGGTGTGAACACAGAAAAGGTGGTAAAACGGTGATAAAGGCAGTGAAGACAAAGCAGCAGTGAAGGCAGTGAACGGTGTAAAGAGGGTGGCAGGAGTGGACTCATACAAACTGAAAAGGACAGAGAAGGATAAGAAGAAGAAAAAGAAGTGGAATGCGTGCTGGCTGGCTACGGTATAGGTGGTGAAGCAGTGAAGGTGGTAAAGGCGGTGAAGACTGTAAAGCGTTGAAGACAAAGCATCAGTGAAAGTGGTGAAGACGGCAAAACCGCGAAGGCAGTGGAGAGTGGAAAGACGGTGGCAGCAGTAGCCGCAGTGGCAGCGGGTGGATACGCACAGCGCTCGCAGCTGCGGGGCGTGGCGGCACAGGTCGGGCGGCAGCGCGTTGAGGCGCGCGCGCTCGGCCCGCAGCGTGCGCAGCCGCGCCGCGCCCGCCAGCGCCGGCAGCGCGCGCAGCCCGCGCGCCTCCGACACCTCCCTGCGCACACACACACCGTACCTATAATCACTAAATAAAAATGCACTTTTTGACAGCTTCCATAGTGGGAGGCAATTCACGAAACTGTTGTAACAAAATCAGGGGATACAGTTTGGTGTTGCAGCTACAAATCTATCGTCCACGTTCACAATTTAATACCACTCAACAGCTAAGGGACCAAAGAATCCATTATTCTTAGTAAGGACTGTGACGCATCGCGCGCGACTGGAGTGAGTGCCGTCATTTTGAGGTCGTTTCGTTATCTACACGTATTCACATGAAACACACAGCCGTGTCATACCCCGACCTTTATTGAAGAGGAGGCAAATGAGCATACGACTTATATGAAGTTAAGTGATTACAGTCGCCCATGAAGATCTGGAACACCAGACGAATTGCAGGTGCGTAGTCGAGCTTTTAGAAAGAAGAGCTCGTTTCGTGAAGCTTTATGCTTCTTTTTACTTATCAAATAGCACTTAGTGTATTGAACGTACACAATTCGATGTTGCCTATTAAACAATCTACTTTCGGCGTATGTCGATAGTATTTTTTATTAGCAACACGCGTGTCTATTTTATAACCAGTTATGATTTATGAGTATACTCCTCAAGTTAAGAAACTACTCAACTAATTGAAATAATAAGAACATCAAACTGAAGCTCCTTCATATTGACAGTAGAAGCTGAGCCATCGCTTCAATAAGTCCCTACTTCTGAGAGACCTTGTGAGAAGAGGCGGTAAGAAATTCATAGCTAATTAATACAGTAGATATAATTATTACTTAAATAAGAAAAAAGGTCCAAAGAAACCCAATATACTCATGCACTCTTGTCTTTTAATAGTATGCTTTTTTTTATAAAAATTAAATGACTTTTTGTCATTTAAAGTACACTTTATGATAAGTGGGTAATGCAGTTCATGGACCAGCAACCACTTCAAATAAAGAAGGTTGGAGACGCGTTGATCTCCGAGATTTAAAATATAATGATTTACAGCTTCTACTTTACTCTCTCTATATTCTGCTCTATACACGCTTTATACCGAAACACAACAGCTAATTGGTGCCAGAATTAAATTTGTAAAAAGATGGTACCTATCCAAACTTCTAGACAAAAATTGGAATTGGAATATTAGGAGGATTAACGCGGAATGCCTCGATATTTGTAAAAATGTTCTGCAGTTCTCTATACTTACCATACCACTAATCATACCAAACACACTAGCATTAGCTGCTAATTTACTATGGTATTCTGTGAGAGAGTGGTCCTTCTCCGGTCGGTTCGACTCATTCGTGCTGCAATATATATATGACTCTACTTCGTTTAAAACACTACTAGTCTCCGGTAGTGTGTCTGGTACCCGGGTGTTACATACCTTTTACTGTCATTCCTAATTTATTCGATTATTAGAACTTTATGAGCCGTGGTAGTCTAGGTGTTAAGAGCTCGTTTTAAAATTTATTGTACGCGAGCAAATTGATATCGTTCCCTGTTCACACGGTGCCGTGTTTGTAATAACTGTACCGTGCCCGGTGCCAAAATGTTATTAGGAAACCTGTAAGTTTACACGTGGTAGAGCCATGCTGCAGCTATATTAATTGTATAGTAGTAACACGAATAGGTCGGCTCGACCGGGGAAGGACCACGCTCTCACAGAATGCCAGTCTAAAATAGCAGCTCAATGCTGCTGTGTTTCGTATGGTGAGTGAAGAGAACCGGAGAAGAGGCATTCCATCTTAGTCCTCACGGGTGACAACGCATCTGCATTTTGATTGCTTATTGAGGATAAATGTAGATGTCTATGGGTCACAGCAACCACTTACCATCAGGTAGACTGTGTGCTCGTTTGTCACCCTATACTATAAAAAAAGTCTTTCTGAGATACTCTAATAAGTAAATGAATACTAGAAGTTTTCGACTCTGTATGATTGTACGCAACATCCACTCTTTGGTACGATGAAGAGCTAAAACAAACTAAATTTAGCGAATATAGACCCATTATGACACGTGGCCACTTGCCAGAAATAGGGTAGCAGACAAAATGAAACAGTTTATTTTAAGCCATCAAAAGGTAATTCATCTTCGCGTATGTATTCATTACTCTGTAATTGCGCAAGGGACTATTCTTGGCCCACTTTTACTTACTGAATTTAATATAATCGGTGCTATGCTGTTAAATGTATTGTGTGAGTTGGTAACCACGTCCACGATTATATTATAAGTAAAATATTTACTTGTACTGTAAATATAGTATTAAGTTAGTACTTAAATTATGTAAAAGGTACTATTAAAGTTGGTTTAACTTGAAATACTACCCTCAATAGTTCATAATTATCTTTCATTACAACCTATCGTAAGTCTACTGCTGAACAGCATATTAGCGACAGTTGCCAGGCTGGATGGCTAGCGCAGTTTTAACCTGATTGCCCCAGAAGGAGGGTGATGTTTTTGAGTGTATGTATGCATGTACGAATATTCTGTTTAATAAAATATATTATATTTTATTATCTATTCCTTTGGCACGCTCTGTAGTTCAAATGGCTCGGCGCACTTTAACATATTGGGTGTCGTTAGGTTTGTCTAAGTTGTGCAAGTGACGTAGCGTACACAGTTTTAAAGTGGAAACTTTTTTAGAATCGTGGTGATTTGAAATTCGATGAAACGATAAAGCGAAACAAAAAAGACACAAACATATACATCTACAGCATTTAGCCTACGAGAGAATGAGATAGAATACAATACACAGTGTTTATCATAAATGTATTTATATTTTAATTACATAAATCTTACAATTATCCTACTCCTAATACTCTATATTCGTCTCATTCTCTCGAAGTTTAGTTTTTTGAAGGTTTCACGTCTACCGCGTGTGAACTACACATATAATTTTTTTCTTTTAAGTAAATTTTTTTCATCATTTTCATCATCATCATCATTACAGCCTTTCATAAGTCCACTATTGAACATAGGCCTCCCCCAAGGAATGCCACAAAGCACGGTGCTGAGCCACCTGCATCCATCGACTTCCTGCATGTCTTACCAGGTCGTCACTCCATGTCGTGGGGGGTTGCCCTACACTTCGCCTACCGGTACGAGGCTGCCACTCAAGAACCTTTCTTCCCCATCGGTTGTCGATTCTTCGAGCTATATGGCCGGCCCACTGCCACTTCAGCTTACTAATTCGTTGGGCTATGTCGGTTACTCTGGTTCTGCTGCGGATATACTCATTTCTAAGTTTATCACGCAGGGAAACCCCGAGCATAGCCCTCTCTATAGCTCGCTGAGCGACCTTGAGCTTCCTCATACCGCCAGCAGTGAAGGACCACGTCTCAGATCTGTAAGTCATCACTGGCAACACGCACTGGTTGTACAATTTAGTTTTAAGGTTTTGAGGTATGTCTGACGAGAAGATGTGACGAAGTTTTCCGAACGCTGCCCAGCCGAGTTGAATCCGTCGATTGACCTCTCGGTCGAAGTTGGACTTACCTAGTCGGACTACTTGTCCCAGATAAACATACTCGTCAACAACTTCGAGCTTAGTGCTCCCAACAACTACAAACATAGGTGTAACATGGACATTAAACATGATCTTTGTTTTGTCCATGTTCATCCTAAGACCTATTCGTTGGGGGACACTATTGAGGTCATTGAGCATGGTGCTTAGGTCCTCCAGCGATTCTGCCATAAGGACTATATCGTCGGAAAATCAAAGGTGAGTGATGCACTCGCCATTGGTGTTAATACCGTATCCATTCCAGTCCAGAAGCTTGAAAACGTCTTCCAATGCAGCGATGAAGAGTTTCGGGGATATAACATCACCGTGTCTTACACCTCTCTGCAATTGGATAGGTTTCGTGCTCTGGTTCTGTACTCGGATAGCCATCGTAGCTCTACTGTACAAACACTTCAGCACTTCGATATACCGACAGTCAACTTGGCACCATTGAAGGGACTGCAGCACCGCCCAAATTTCGACGGAACTAAAGGCTTTCTCATAATCCACACACGCCAGACCTAGTGGCAAATTGTACTCTTCGGACTTTTGTACAATTTGCCGAAGGGTATGTATGTGGTCTATGGTACTAAAACCCTTTCGGAAACCGGCTTGTTCGGGAGGCTGGAAGTCGTCAAGTCTGCGCGCGAGACGATTCGTAATGACTTTCGAAAACAGCATGTAGACGCGCCTCAGAAGGGAAATCGGTCTGTAGTTCTTCAAGAGATCGTTGTCACCTTTCTTGAAGAACAAGACTACCGCACTTCTGCTCCACGCCTCTGGTGTAATGCCACCATGGAGGACAGAATTAAAGAACTTCTGAAGGACTTCAAGTACCGGTCTTCCACCCGCATTCAGAAGCTCCGCTGTAATTCCATCCTCGCCTGGGGCCTTGCCGTTTTTAAGGTGCTGGAGAGCCATTCTAATCTCGCTCAGACTGACGTCCGGGATATCTTCGGAATAGTGTCGGATAAGACTCGCTCTTGGATAGTTACTCACACTTGCGTGTGGCTCCAACGATGACGTGTACAGCTGCCCATAGAACCTCTCAATCTCACTCAAAATCTCAGGTGCCCCGGAAACGATGCTGCCACACTCAGTCTTCAGCTTTAACAGTTGGCTCTTTCTGGCAGACAGATCTCTGGCAAAGACTTTGGAGCCTTGGTTCCGCTCGATCGCTTCTTCAATACAAGCTGTATTGAAGTTGCGTAAGTCCCGCCGCATGCATTTGGAGATCTGTCTGTTCAGTTGCCTGTATGCTGTAAAATCTGTTGAAGAATGTAGCTTCATCTCCCGTCTAACAGCTATGAGATTGAGAGTGTGATCGGAGAGTTTTTGTGTTCGTCTGCGGCGGGTCTTGCAGAACTTAGCTCCGACCGCATGGACAGTTTCCACGAGCTTGTCATTCATATCGTCCACTTCATTGCAGTCTTCTAGGCACTGAAAACGGTTTTGTAACTCGAGCTGAAAGGTTTCGGGACTTTGGAACAGAGCACGAGGGGGACGGA